ATGCAGAAGCAAGTTGCGTATTTGAATCAGGCCAAGAGGCAACTGTGCGACATATTCTGATGATAAGGACTTGCGGCCTGTCTGCTCCCAGAGAGCAACCACTTGTGCCACGTGATCCACGGAGGCTTTCTTTTCATGCGGGAAATACAGTCACTGCGGGTTTCTGAGCCAACAAGATTGGCGTGAAGATGGGTCCAATGAAAGGAGTGGAATACGGGGAATGTGTTCAGTAGATGCAGTACGGAAAGAACTTGGGGAGTGGTCGCCTGACACATGCTCTTAACAATGTGCCTGGCGCCTAGCCTGATGCAGGGCTACTGAACGGTGAAATTTCATTTGGGCACAGGTGCTTGGAACAGCCAGCTGCCAGCTTCAACGCGAGGGCCGACAATGGCGGGCGTCATAATCTGTGGCCGTTCTATCTGTGTAGTACACAGTGTGTACTGGCCGCCAGCACTGGCATCAAATGCATTAATCGCATGGGAATACTCCTAGAGGTGGGTCCGACGGACAGCCAGGCTTCAGCCCCCCGCGTGGAGAGGCGTTCACAGTCACGGTGCATGGATGAAACTGGCAGGTGTCGTGCTAGTGCATGCCTAAGGTTCCTGTGACTTTAAAGTCCCATGTACTCGTGTTTCGGCCGCTGTGGCTGCTGCAGCAAATTGCACGAAAAAATGTCTCATGGCAACGCATCCGTTGCCACCTCGTAGCTGGCTGTTGGAAGTATCCTGTGAGCGGCCACCTGCACAGGGCATTGACGAGAAAGTTAGGGACCAATTCATGCAATTGACTGCGCGCGAGTGGCTGCAATATGGGTTTGTCACCGCAGACCCTCCTGAGCGCTGACTGTAGTTTGGGTGCAGTGCGGCATGTGTCCATAATGGCCATTGTTGCAATGGTTGCAAACAATTGGCTTGAACGCACACAAACAATAGGCTAGGTAGTCAAACAAAGCCGGTGATGCACGACGGTTTGCTTCGCTGTAGATACCAGCGCGCTGAGCAAATCAACCTGACGGCGCGAATGGATTTGAAGCCTGCGGAAATCGCGCATTGGGGACTCATTGTGCAACCATACCTCCACATCGCCCTATCTGTCACTATTTGGCAAATGCAATCAAAGTATTTGTACTGGGCAAGCGGCGAAAATCACGAAATACACTTTCCTAAATGCTGACAATACGATTCCTTCGTGAAGAACGTTGAGCGGCGCGGAGGCAAAACTGCATTCTCCCACACATATCCGCAATCTGTGGCGATGATAGGTTCCCCAAGTCATTGACTGTGGAAGCAATGCGTACACCGTTCTGACCCCCTCCGGTTGCGTTTGCCGATGTCTCGACGAGGCAGAAACCCGCGGTGCATTGTAACGGAAGCCCACGCGACAGTCATTGTGTTCTGCCCAGCTGTGTCTGCCAAATCGACACGGCACCCTCCGTTCGCACACCGACAAAGTGCGCTGTTATGCGGCCACTGAGCGCGCCTCACCGAGTCGTATGCCCATTGGATCTCCAGGGGCCTGCATCCCCAGCGGCGGGAGAGGGAGTCCATCTCCTTCGCATTGGTCGCGCCTGTCGTCAAGACCCACACTTGCGAATCGCTCCCAAGCTGTGTGCCCCTTGGCGGGGGACGCTTCAGCAGCTGGCCTCCCGCCAGCTCCAAGAGCTGCTTGGCCACCGTTTTCCTATTCCCTGCGCGCCAAGCTCGACGGTGTCACGTGAAAGAGCACAAAAATTGTGTGTTCTTCTACTTTTACATTTAATGTAAAAGTATATTTACTGCTGCTCTTAAACCACCGTTTAGTATAAAGCGGAATACTTAGTACCAGCATTAGCAGTGAGAAAGTGCCTAGAGCTCGCAGTCGGGACGGCGGGCTCCGTGTGACGACTGCCTCTCGAGTCTTGTCTCAAGCAAGACTGTACGAAGGGTGCATTTGAACATGTTGTGATACAACTAATTCCTACCTGGCTACCAATGTAAAAATTTCACATATTCAAAATCAACGGCGACAGGGGTACCTGGCAGAGCAAGGTACCGAAGCAAGCTGGCATTGTCTGTTCAGAAATGCTTCCATTGTACACAGTTGCAATTACTGTGCACATGCATCAATACCCGGCACACATTTCCTTGACGGACCCCTGGTGTAATGCAGAAGCGCAACACCGATTCACGGCAAAAAGCTTGGAATCGCCAGAGGGGGAGAGTGACTTGGGGGACTTGTTTGGTGGTCAGCTATTCGATGGGGCTCTTGCCACTCTCCCATCGCTGATCAGAGCAATTGGCGCTTTTACAGATGTGAATCCCACGTTTGTCGTGCTAAATTGCTGAAAATTACTACATTTCATTGGTGTACTGTTAATAGGAAACCGTTGTACGTTAATTTATGCTATCTGAACCACTTTAAGAAAAATAAATGATGTGGTTGTTGCTAGCATGTTATTGTCTCACACTGGTATCAGTATTGAAATGTCATTCGATCATGTTGTCTTATCCTTTCTGGTCGTCATGTACACCAGTGAGTGGAGCCCAGCCTCCACAAACATTGGCACCCCACCTGCATCTGCACCCCACAAATAGAATTGGAGGCCAGCGAACAACAAGGCCTCCTTTCTTTGAGCTCGCCGGCGCCCCAACTGGGGACCTCCTTCATGACTCTGATCACCCTGAAGGAACACATCACGCCAGTCAGAATGCTGTACACAACACCCATGCCCAGACGTACTTGCCATGGATATCCTGTGAGTGGCTGCACACAGGGAAAAATTTTTCGTGCATGCCCCCTGCTTCGGTTCAACCTTGCTGGTGGTGGTTCCCATTTTGTTGCAATGCCCAAAAATGTCCGGCTTTACTTTTGTTTGGAGAGAGTGGCCCAATTCTTGGCAAGTTTTCCTGGTTTGAGGTGGGTCTCAACCCACTTGTAGGTAGGTAGGGATATTGGCTCCATCGGAAAGAGATTTTCTATTATGAGTGGACATATGCAGAGCTCTGCTAACACACAGCATTCGCTTGTCTTATTCGACCATAAAACTGATTGACATAGCAACACATTCTCAGGTGGGGAATTTCCTGTAGTGTATTTAAACGGACAGCTGGGTGCACAGGTTTGATACTGCTTCGGCTCTGTATGTGCAGTTCGCTCTCACTATCAATCTTGTCGATGATGACTCCTCTCACACTGATGGGAGTCAAAGCCCTTGCCCCCCAAAAGGAAACAAGGTATTGAAACCTGTGTGTCAACAAGAGTATCTTGTCATGCGGCGGTCCAAGCCATCATCTGTTCGCTGGATTTAAAGCGTTTCGACACAAAGGCAGTCAATTTGCACCGCTGACATTCCAACACTGTGCTGAATTGGGGTGGGTGATGGACTGCATCGCACCTTTACTATGAACTCCCATTCATCCACTAGGCAGCCCTGCCGCATCGACGCCTCTACCCAACTCCAAGAAACAATGTAGCACCCATGCAAGATTGCCTGTAGGACACAATGCGCCCAATCAGGCAGATGCGCCACATAGTCATGCAATAATTCTACAGGGTATAAGGGCAGGTGATGCATGATACAGTACAAATGTACTACTAGCGTAGCGCTGGGCCACTGCACTTCACGGAGCAATTCACAGCAGGGTTTGGCCACACAATCAGCAGCAAATATGCAGGTTGGTTCCCAGGCTGACCACAACAAAATTGTGCAAAAGCGGGCTTGAGAGGGCTCGTTGTTGTGCACATCGTTACGTTATGATGCTCCTTTGAATTTCGAGTCTCTGCTCTGCACTCTGCGGTCAACAGCTTTCCTTAGTTCTGCCCGAAGCCAAATTGGTTACACTTGCCAAAAGGCATGAGAGTGCTGCACATGGAACAAGTGTTGCAGTGTTGCTGGGAACACTCCGTGCTGCCAGTGACACAGTGTACCATTGTCACACTTATTTCTGTTCTGTATTCATCCAGTTGTGCTAAAAGTTCATCATTATGGATGAAGATTGTTTCAGCAAGAGAAGGAAGCTTGCCACATTGGTGGGAATCACATACCAAGCTGGTTGTTTGGTAATTTTACCACATATTAAAGATGGCCAAGATTCACCAGTATGCCATGTTAGGCTGTGCCATGTGGCATCTTGAGACCGTCAATTTCAGCAAGTGAGCATTTATTGAATAATTCTTGGTTGACACTGTACCATAATAACACTGGCCAAATGTCATCATGAAAGTTGCTGCCATGCTGAGAAAATGGTGAATTCATTCATATTTGCTTCATCATGTATACACACATAACGAATGCATAATATATGCATTGTGGTCATATTCGCCAATAAAATTCCTTCTCACAATACTCAAAGTTGCGACAAATGCAGCCCAGCTTTCAACTCAGTTTCTGGCCCATGCTTATTTCCTCTGGGAAGTGAATGAACCAAACACAAGGCAGCAAGCATACTGTGCATCGAGTATCTGTGAGTTGGGCATCACAGCATCTGCCCTGGAGTGGGTGACCACATGTTCCACACGCCAGTCTAATGGAGCTCCCATTCTAGTGATTTCCCAAAATACAACGAATGCAGTTTAGATGTTTGATGACAAAGGGTCAGTTGGAAACATTGTGCACCTGTACCTTAAGATACTTTTCCGTGGCTCGCTCGATGCGCATGTTTTCATCTGCCATCACAACGAGGTGTGTTGTGGTACTGCACAGTCACAAAAAATGCATGTTGCTTACATAATCCAATACATTATTCTTCAGTTAAATACATTATTACATCGAAAAGAACTGCATAATGTTGAGACAGGGGATTTCAGTTCCATTATTGCTTGAGAACGTGCGAGAGACACGCTGCAAACCACAGTGCAGGCAGACGCACCGCCTCAACATGTGCATCGGCAACATTGTAAGCTCTTGGGAAATGCACTCAACAAGGAATTTGTTCCACAGCATGCGGATTGGAAGCAGGCTCAAATGCCCAAAATCTCAAGTATATGGCACAACAACCAATCGATCAGTGACATAGATGCGTCACCCTCGTATTTTGCGCCAGAAACATCATCAACTCACGACAAGTGCAGCAGCACAACACACGTTGCTGAGTTTGTCCACCCATGCTTTCAAGCCAGCAGCTCTCCAAAGATGCAATGCACAAACCCCATGGACTCGATAGTGCGCAAGTCGACCATGGACCCATTCAGAGACACCTTAGATCTGCAGCTCTACCTTGTCACTTCCCCAACTGCTGCAGCCATTGGTTGGCTCTTGCACCAGTCCTTCAGCATCTGGCGATTCTGCCGTGGAACGTTAGAAAGCGCGATCCAGACAGGGGACCTGGAAGCCAACATCAAAAAGTGAGTCTGGTCCTGTTGACGGGTGATCTCTCTCTGCGACCCATTCTCACTATTACTATACCCAGGGTGATGAACAATGGAAATGAGTGGCATTGGCCCCCATAGTTTGGGTGTGGCAGTCAAGCAGTCTCCATTGTGTCCACATCGTGCACATATTGGCAGTGAATCTGACAAACATGAAGAGCAAGGAGCTTCAAGCTGCACAGGACGACTTAGCTGTTTCCACTGCCAAAACAAGTTCCCCGTCTGAACAAGCATCTCTCTTAGCTTCTAGACAGCTGGGATCTGTGGACTGCATTATCATCGGCTGACTGCAACAAGACTGATGCAGTTGCAGTCAGCCACATGGCCCCATATCACTCTGCATCAAGTGGAAGAATCTTAGGATCTTTAATCAAACAAAGAAACTAACTGATCAAGTTATGCACGCAAAGCAGCATTCAATATTCAAACAGTGGAAACAGTGGAGAGATTGATATCAAACTAGCACCGCGACATTGCAAATGAATGCATCCTCAACAGCAAGAGATGACAAGGATTGCATCCAGCATTGCAGCTGGGTGAAGTCACGCATTTTGCAATGTTCCAATCAACAAGCACAAGACATGTACAAGGCCAGGTGACACTGCTGTTGTCACCTTTTGGCTGGCTTGTCAAGAAGAGAGGTGTCACTGTCTTTACAACTGCAGGAAGACTGATAGGAGTTATTCACACCTTTCTCGTGAACTCACGTGGGGGACTGCTGCATTACGTTAAGGGCACAAATACAATGAGCACACAATCGTTGCAAACTTTGAATGGTTGAAGGAAACCAGGAATGTGTTGGAGTACCTTTTGGTGGAGTATACTCTCTGCAAAAGGTGACACACTTGCCAAACATATGTACATGGCTCTTGGTTTTTTGTTATTTAAGTTGCAAGAAATATTTCTGGCCTGAAACCTGTGAATGCCAAATAGTATTGATGACCCTTACTGTGCGGAGAGATGACGATTCTTTGTTGAGGATGCAGGTTTTCCCAATTCGTCAGTCTTGGCAGATTTCTTGTTGACATTCGGCTCCCTGTTGCCTGCTTTGCGCTTGCGCCCTGGCTTTGGACCGGATACACTTGGCGTTGCCTGTGTATAAACGTACACAAGTCAAAGGTGCATGAACGGTAATTCTGGTCTCAACGGGCAAGGCAGCAATGTCACACCAGAGCACAGCACATCATACACTGATTCACAGCAGCATGTTCAATGCTATGCGGTTGTGAAGGATCTGTAGCCATGTAGTGCAAAGCACATACTGGGTAAGCTGTTGACGGGACGAAGCTCTGAAGAAAACACCAAGAAGAAAGAACTGGCGCAATGAAGATGTTTCCAGAGGTGGAATGATTCACTCTGCAGGACAGCTGCTGAGTACTGGTTTCAACAATGCAGCAAATTTCAGCAAGGCAATTGCAAGTTTGCATATCTGTCGAGGCAGTTTGTCATATCAAGGTTGATGGGTTTGAGAGCTGTGATGTGGCAATAGCAATCTTCAAGGGATGAAAGGATGGTTCACCTTGTCATCAGGACCAGGGACGTTGCCAAAGTCTGGCTTCCATGCTCGATGGTCCAAATCCAACACTTCAACAGTGCCATCATCATATAGTATTTCATGCTTTCCCTGCAGAGACACATTGCATGCACATATCATAACTATGGCCCTGTGGCACCACAGAAAACAACTCACTCTAGAGAGCTGAGACCAGGCAATCATCGTTACACACAAAACATGGCTTTTTCAATGAGCATATCGACATACGCAAGACATTGTGGTGCCTTCTCTGCTGAGGCAGTAGACACACTACACTTGAGACAGATTGTCAGTGCGCGATGTCACCTTTGGTGGTAGGTATTTGACAATCTTCCCAGATTTGTAGCACCCGTCATTGGACACCTTGACACGCATGTTTACCATCCGATACGTCAGTGGCCAGCGCACCTGCATACAGCCCACCTCTGGTGAGTGTGCCTCTTGCCGATGCTGAAACGCAACAGGGTGGACTCAATCTGTACGATCAAAATAGGTGGAGAACTGCAATAAAGTGCTAAACTTTGGGCAAGTTCCAGCCTGTTGGCAATCAACAGAAGAGCAAGGAGGTGATGGCAATTACAGATAGAACGGATAGGAAGGCAAGAGAAACACATTGCACCAAGCAGGCAATGAAACACACAATCTGCAAGGCTTATCAGTAACTTCTGAGATGCCAGCGCAATATATTTTTAAATGGGCCAAAAGCATGCCAAATACCTCCAAACCTTCCCACGAGGGGCTTGATGAGGGCGTGTGCCACGACTGGCTTCCGACACCAGGGACTTGGCTCACTGGTGTGTTCCTTGCAGATAGTCTTGAACGCCGTGTACATGGTCTCGTCGTTCCTCCCTTCCTTGAACGTTTGTTTCCTTTTCTGCCATTCTCCACTTTGCTCTGTGGTTTCTCACTCATAACGGAGGATGCACAATCGGCAGTGCATCCTTGACAAGCTTGGGCACCCCCCCTGGCTTTCTTGACCATTGCTCCAGTTTGTCTGAATTCCAATAGCGTGTCTGCTGCTTGGGCTGCAGGCAGTTGTTCATTGCTCTGATGAGCAGTGCCCATCATCAAATCACCCAGAGGGGCTCCAGGCTGGTTCGTCTTTGCACCAGGCACCTCAGCAACCAGTGGGACAGCATTTGTTGCTTTGATTTCGCTGCCAGTCCCATTGCTGTTGGTGTTCCTGGGTGCCTGTTCTGTTCCTGCGGCACAGCTGCAATTCTCAAAGGCAAAAAGACGTGCCCATAGGGCTTCAGTTCAAACGATGCGGCGCACTGATCACAATAGAATACAATGGAGTAGAAAAGAGTAGAATAGAATTGTGTTCCACACAATAGATTGCATGGTTGGTCTTTGAATATTTCTGTGTATTGCACACTTCCCTCAGCATAAAGATACACTAGATCTTTGACATGAATCTTTGCTACATTGTCCTGGTTCTGAAAGTAGGTGACAACTTCCTTACCATCACAGCGTCCTTCAGGTGCATCAACAGTGTTGTGAGATGCCCCAGGTCTGCAAGTGTCACAATTGTTTCCCTCTGATGGATCAGGGGAGGGACATCCTCCAAGAAGGTAATGTGTCTTCACTAGGTAATCTTTAGGAGAATTTGTATGTCCCACCAAATTGTCACTAAAGATGATGCCTCCTTGGCGTTCCTGATGCTGCCCTTCAGTGGCAGAAGCCCCAGATGCTCTGCAGTGTGCAGCACCTGCTGCACGTTGCTCTACGCTTGGTGTGTTACGCAGCACAAGAGGCCTCCCCTGATGCTTGTCCCTCGATCGCACAAAAGAACGACGCTGGCGGGCAGGCATCACGCCATCCACTGGGTCAAGGCACTGCTCTTCCGATTCTCCTTCAGGGGCATGGTCAGGCTCAATGACCCCAGACGCCAGTTGTTCTCCTGCGGCGCTTGGAATCGATGCAACTGGGTGCAGTTCTGTGCAGAGGATCACATGATACTGGTCACATCAAGGCGAAGTGAATGTGAAAGACGAAATTCATCATGCAATCATTGGCTCCACGATGGGGGTGCACAATGTTGTCCAGGTGTGCACACCTTTTGCATCTTCTGCCTTGTTCAAAACCTGTGGCTCCAACTTCAGCTGTGTCCTGCCACTGATTCGTGTCCTTTGCGCACTGTGCCAGGGATGTTCCTGCGATTGCAGCACAAGTCAGCAGGGGCACAGCTGTGCTGGTCACTGAAACAGTAGAAGGTAGCAGTCCTCCTGGGGGATGTCTCATATCCTGAGGCAATACATTTGTGTTGGGCAAGTGGAGTGGTGAAGCATTCCCATGCCGCAGTTACAGCTGGAAAATGGTTGGCTTTCATTATACTGCATAGTATTCACAGAAATGGTGGACTGGACAATTGTCTGTTTGGTTCTGCTGCATCTTTTGCGTTGCTGCACTGGGAAACTACAAAACTCACTGTCATGGACCCCTGCCCAATGATGGGCTACGCACATGCAATTAACCATCAACCGTGTGCTGTTCTCTTCCCTATATATGCTGGTGGAAACTGAAGTAGCACAACAATAGACATTTCTGCAGTCCCTAAACAATCAGTGCAGCACAATACCTCCTGAAAGAAAACATAGACATCTGAAATTCGCATTCATGTTTCATTGCAACTCACATGCAGGCCAGCTCGCCCATGAGCAGCACCCAGCAACTCGCCATTTGGGGTTTGCCTGTTGGCGCATCGAGGGATCCTCTCCAAAGGAATGGGCGTTGAGCTGAGCTGCCTTCGTTTCCTGCCTGTCTTCAGCGATGCTGAATCCCTGGCAGAATGTTTAGGCACGTTGCTCTTGCCCAACAAGCTGGCCATGGCACTCAGAGGCCTGTTGTGCGGTGTTGTGAGCCATGGTGTGGAGCTTGGTGTCTTTGGCAACGGAGTGGAGTTACTGGGCAATGCCGTGTGAGGCGGTGGGGTGTGCAGCTGCAGTGCAGACCTCTCCACCTCCACCTCCCTGTCTGATGGCTCGCATACCGGGTGGGTCCTTGCCAAAGCACTGTCGCTGGCGTGCTGTCCACTTGGGCACAGGTTGAGTCCACCAGACTTGTGCACTACACTCCTGCCTTCCTCATTCGCCTTGCTGACTGGATTCAAAGGTGTTTGCTGGCTGGTGGATGTGTTGCTGTTGCGGATGGTCTCATCAGATATTGGGTCAGCATCTTTGTGCCAGGAATCACTGGCACAGCCACTTTTTGGACTCCTGGGTCCCAACCCAGTGTCATGCTGTTGGGAACCAGATGCACCAGGACCGTGGCACACACCCACAGGGCAACGAGATAGGTGGGGCGAGATCTGATCGCCACAATTCAAGACTGCTAGCCTTTGTTGATCTCCCCGCTCTGGCTCCTTTACATCAACGCAGTTCTGTTCTGGTTCTCTTGCATCTACAAATAATTGATCCCTCAGATGCAGTCCTCCTTCTGAAGCCTCTGGTCGTTGGCAGTATTCAGCAACCGAAAGCGCACCATGGTCAGCAGATCCTGCAGCGTGTTCACATTTCCCATCGTATGCAGTGCCTTGATGCAATTCACCTGTAGCCATTCCTCCACACACTTTCGATGCACTGCCGCAGACTGCATCGTCCATCGCCTGGGCCACCCCAAACCTGTCCACACTCAGGCTGGCCATCTCTGTTGCTGAAAATCTGTACCCAAGAGCATGCAGGACTTTATCGATCTCGTCCCTGCCTCTCTCCTCAAGTGTCCATGGACCCATCTCACACGTTCTCGGCCCACTTCTGTCATGGCCTTCACTGTCCACACCAACAGCGCAAGGAGAATCGGGGGCGGCATTCGCTGCAGCACAAATGCTGCCCTCCCTGTCCCCTTGGCCTTCCAATGGCAAAGCTGTCTTGAATGCCATGCCAGCCTTGATATCCACAATTGCCTTGTCCAGCTTCTGCAGTTCTGCCTGCAACCGCAAGGCCTCCTCAGGGGAAGGAGGAGACAAATCTCTGACAGCTTGTGCCCAGGACTCTGTGGGGCTGAACAATCTGTGCGCCTGGCTGCATCTGCTATGAGCCATCACCAGCATGGCTCCTTGTGGTGAGGCAGCAGGGAAAAGCAGGTCGCCGCACTCAGAGGGCGATTCCTGGACAGTTTCTGGCATCAACTCAGGTTGTGGCAATGGGTCTCCGCCTGGCATTGCCTCCTTGTTATCACATGCTCGTCTCTGTTCGGGATGGAAATCAAGCTGTTGGGCATCTGCGTCACAGAATGTAGCGAAACAACAGCATGTCAAAAGAATGCACACAACAGGCAGGCTTTCACATATGAGTGAGCCAGCCATTCTCCACCGTCCTTTTCACTGCCTGGGTGATAGTTTTTACTGAATGCTTTTTTGCCAACTAGCGAAGGCGCTTTCACAGTTACAGTTCCGCTGCATCTGCCCAAATGCAGTTTGGGGGTTCCAACAGTCAAGCAGTGAGTGGCAGCACAACAGACCCTATCCGTGGAAGAGAATGCGCAGGGCGCTTGATAGATTCGATAACTGCAGCACACCTTTTGGGTTCCCTTTGCTTTTTAGTGTACAAAATATTCAAATATTTGTGCCAGAATTGGCAATTCACGACTAGGAACATGCATTGCGATGAAGAGCACTGGAATCATGAACATTGATCCTCAATTTCTGATGGAATCTTTCTGGTGCCTGTCAGAATAGAAGCGTTTTTGAAACAGCATACTTTGTATAAATGCACTGGGCTCAGTGCACCAATGGGTCTGGGTGAATGAGTGGCTGTGTCTCTTGAGTTAACACACTTTTCTATAATAGTGTTCCGATGCACGGAGCATACACAGGAGCAGAGGAATTTCATAAAGAAGACCAGCAAGAAAGGACATTTGCATTCAAACTGTGGGCATTGATTACAGTGTGCTTGGGGATTTGCAAATCGTTTTGCTCAGAAGGGAAATTTGTGATAGCAGCTTGCTGTTACGGCCATCCGGTGACGATTTCCCTCCCTACCAGCCATGCTCTCATAACATTAACTTCATGCTGCACACAGACAGAAAATGCGCTTCTTTGGTGCCATTGTGCTGTGCTTTTGTAATTGGCGCACTCTCTTACAGAATTTCCGGGCATGGATTAAATCCAGGGCATCCACTGTGATATCACCAGCTGGTCGGACGGTTGATCAGCCGCTCCATTCACAATGGACGCATAACCCGCAGAAGGCGGTCATGCGGTCCACTGTGTACGTGCCACTGGCGCCTCGATATGAGTCATCATTGCAGCGCCCACGCACCAAAAGACGGCGAACCGTAAGCGCGGCACCTGCGCAGGGTGATGTGCTGCAAAGCCCGCCGGCGTGGAATCTTGGCACCGACTGCGTCAGCTGCCCGGCTCGCCTTCAAGGAGGGCGTATCCACAGGCGGACGCCCCCCGTTGCGGACGGACGGACTGCGGACGGATTACGGACTGCACGTCCGCTAAATTGCGGACGGCGCGGCTGCGTGAGCAAACTGGTTGCCCCAGAGCTGTGAGCCTTTCCGTGCGTCTGGCCAGGACGCTGATGGTGCCAGAAACGCAGCCCGCCACATCCGCTTGGGCAGAAACTCGCGGATGACATGGACATCACGGGGGGCTGATGATCTGATGTAGGGGAAGACGTTGACGAAGGCAGGCAGGATCGAGGGGTGGCGATCCCTGAGCGGGAATTGTACGCTCGAGTCCACGGCAACGGTTTACAGCCGAGGCAAAAGACAACAGGCGTGCTGTCCTTATATTCAGTCCGTTCATCAACGTCCTTAATGCAATTCCTAGTGCTTCATCATCTTTTCATGCGTCTAGTTATTATTAACACTCAGTCAGTTCTAGCTGCAACAACGTCATGTCGACTATGGGACGCTTAGCGTCAAGTCGATGCTAAATTCCATCCCCCCCGCCCGCCTTCCCTGCTTGTGTTGTGTGCTCATCTGTGCTTCGGAGGCTCTATATCGCGCGGAAAAGAGTCTCACATACACATGCCTGGGAGGGGGTGCCCTTTGTATGACTTGTTTCTCTTATTCTTTTGTAACACCCCCCACCCCCCACCCCCCCCTTCTCAGCGTCAGTCCTTATGTCGGTGCCAAGATGACTCAACAGCATTACCTAATAGCCTGCCACATTTTTCAAGGCGTTTGCGAGGAAGGTAATGATAGGGGGTTCAGCGATTGTCCAGGACTATAAGATGGGTTTCTCAAGGCTGCGCAAGTGATGGAGGCCACCCCGGAAGCTCTCGATTTGGACAATATGGGGCCTTCCTTCAAGATTGAACGCTTCATATAGCTTTTTGAAGTAATCCATAATTTGTTTGCCACTGACCAGGGGCGTTTTGGGGATGTCCATATCTTGTGTCGTTTTTGTGGCAATTACATAATCCTTTAGCGTCACAGGTCTGGTCTCCCCAACCCCTCCCGCCCCTCCCTCCTAGCGTCAAAGTGATGATAAGGTTAACAATTTCGACATACCACCTTCCCTAAATACTCGGAATTTTGAGTGTGAAGTTAGGCTTGTTATTACGGCGTGAACGCAGTCTGTATTTACGTATTTTGCGGGTGTTTACGTTAAAATACGTAAGGGCACGCTGTGTTGAGCCGTAAATAACGCGTCTGGCTGACGCTTTGTCAATTCTGCCAGAGCTCGGAGTCAAATAGACTCAATCGGTGTGAAGGGGCAATCTGTGACATTAGGGAACTATTTTCTTTGTCCGGAACATAATGAACATTTTGTGAGGCCGTCCTTGTATCATGTACTTGGCAATTTATTTTTGAGCAACGAATCCTAGGCTGGGGCCCCAGCACTCTTCGTGGGTCTTATGGTAACGGAAAAGGGTGGTCAATGCTTGGCGCATTCTCATCCGCTACCCCACCCTGGCACACAAAACAGACCGTAATGGATGGCAAACACGGTGCACTCCATGACAAGAACGAAGTACTGCGTTGGACGCTTGATGTTGTCGTTCACTGCCACCATCTCCACCCAGTACATGCATCAGTACACCATGTATATAATGTTTCTTCTCTTACACACAGAGCACACTCACAAAGCTCATTCCAAGCTATCAGAAATTCGCAGAGAACGGAGTATCCCCGATATGGTAATACTTCAAACCCTTGATTCAGGGAAGGTATTGTTGGAATTTTCTCAGGCTGTAGCTATCCCGCCAACAGTATTGCTCTGGGTTTGGGATGGGTCAATTCCAGAGTGTAGCACCTGTCTACGAATCCACAGTGCCAGCAACGGTAGAACTGACAACACCACTCAGGTCCTATCCAACAATTGGTACCAGTCACGTGCAACAATTGCTAAACAAATGAACAGGATGGCAAGGAATGCACGCAGGCATCCTTTCATGGCTTTCGAGGGGTGACGCACCTGTATCACGACATCTGCGTCACAATGGCGCAACGCTGATGTTGGCTACAAGGCGATGGTGGTGCACGTCTTTTATCACCAGCATTGCGACAAATGACCGCCTTGAGTGCGGCGTCCCGTGCAATAGTGTGCCATACTGGCTCCGCTTGCTCTCCTCCACGGTGTGGGGGCAAAGTCTTGATGTTTTGCTTGTCCTGATTTGCAAAATATTCTGTTTGCTGTGTCCTTCGTTGCTGCTCATCTTGCAACTAAGCATCAATGCCGTCCCTGGTTGCTGCGCATGTGTAGAGATACATCCACCGGCACGACTTGATACCCATTTTCAATTTCACCAGTCCTTGCTACGAATGGTCCGTGGTTCGCGGCGACGTAAATCTGAAATGCGTCAATTCATGAGTCATCACCATTAATTTCCGTGAGTCACTTCCCCCACCCTTACACAATGTGGATTGAACTTGCGGCGGCGTTTTCATCCTCGCACTCGCTCATTGTGGTGAAATATAATTAATTTAATTAAAGTTCCGCGGCAAAATTTGTGGAGCTGCAGTTTTTGCCGCACGACGACTGTTGGCAATCAAAACGCATACCTTCCCTGCCTGTTGGAAACAGTACTGCAACCCATTACTGTACACAAGGCATATCGATAAACACAACATTCAACCATCAATAAATTCCTTGTCCCTCTATGAAACCCCACAGCAGAAAGAGCGGGACGAAACAGTCCACTTTTGCATTGTAGGTGACAACAGGAAGTCCAGTGACCCGATGACCGCCCAACCACTTGGTCAGTCATTCCAGCTGAACTAGACCAGACTGGATTGGATGTCGTGAATAGCATGCACTGCACATCGATCAGATCATGAACGCGCCGGTCCTGCAGTCTTGGTGGCATCTTGTCCCGCAACACCTCATTCAAAGGCTGCCGCTCTTGAGTTCTTCGTCGAATTGAGGCTCCAGTCGTATTCTTGCCAAGCTATCACAGCATCCTGCGGAACGCTGTTGCCCTGTGCACGGCCACAAACACGGCATCCGGTTGATCCTCCGTGGCCAAGCCCAACACTCAGGGCAAAGGTAAACTTGGACACCAGTCCACCGACATTGCACACGTTAGACTGCGTGAAAGAAGCTTGCAAGCAGGTTGCACCTGAAGAAGGCATTCTGGCAGGCACGCAACCGCCAATGGCCATCACTGCTGTGTGCCTGTCATCAAACACTCTGAGACCGTGACAGAATCTTTGCAGTGTGGCTGGCAGGCCCATCACCTTTACCTGTAAGATGGCGCCTACTTGGCGACCAACGTTCCATTGCTGTGCTAGCCTGTTGTTACAAAGTCTGTATTATTCTGCAGCACAACTCCATCGAAAAATTGGCTCATCGTTCCCCACCAGTCCAATCGAGCATGGCTTCACTTAGATCGCTTCTGACAAAATCGGTCACAAGTTCCAACACAGAAGGAAATACTGCACAAGTACACGGTTCATTTTACTGCTATCCTTTCAACCCACCTCCTTGTACTTGTTGATGAAATTGATCACACCCCCTCCATGCTGATCAAAGTCCCCCTTGTACCACTTGAATATATTACTGAGCGAGACAGTCTTGCCACGTCCCATAACAGCACCCCCGTCAACATTTATAAACCTGCGGGTGGCCTCATCCAGCTGTTGTGAGAAGCAAGCTGTACAGAACAGTTGCTGCAGAAGCCTGGGGCAGCTCCAGCTGCAGCAGTTGATGGCAAAATGGATCCGTGGTTCATTGTACGCACGGATGATCTTGTTCTCCAGCTGCAGGGAGGAAAGGAAACTGCAGACAATGAGTGATGGGAATGCTGGCTATTGAGGGGCATGCTGGCCCGGGGAGATCTGATGGAAGTGACGTCAGACGATGTAACTGGTGACACACATATAACGACAAAAGTTGCGATTCACACCCTCGTATGTCATGGAGTCTGCTGCTGGGAGCCAATGCCAATAGTATTGTTTGAAAATAACGAAACTGTGCTATGTCAATATGGATGTGAACAAGAAGTTGTTCCATTTGTTATCATCTGAAGGCTGTACACGACTACCTGAATTGGACCATTGTTGTGATTGAGTATCATTGACAGACGAGCCAAAAAAGCAGTTGATCTACTAAAGTCTGCCTCCGCTTTAACCATGGAAGGGCAGGACAGAGTGTGATTTCTCCTTTGCCCATCAAGCCGATTTTGGCAGCATGGGCATTGCAAGCACAATGGTGGCAGGGGTGATTCCCTGGACTACATTTGCCAACAAGGCAAAGCCCTTGCACCCTGCAGGTAATGATGAGCACAGAACCATCTGCTCCACTTTGGCTTAAGTGTTAGTGGTGGGCTGCAGTTTCTGCAGCTTGCACAAAATCAACCTTTCCCTCCCAGCACATAATTTGCCAAGTCAAATCTCACCCACACTCAAGGATATTTCAGTAACCTCATTGTCCTGTGGTAGGCGGGCAATGGCAATCTTCCAGCTATATAATTTCTTCAGCCAATGTTCATGGGTATGTCTTGATGACCCCCAAGGTGAAATGCACCCAAAGAAACCTACATCGAATAGGTTCGTCTTCTTCCCCGCAACGGTGACTGATTGGAGGTAGAAGAAATCTGCCTTGTCAAGAAAGCCAGTGAGTCCTGCAAAACAATCCTCAAAACATTATGCACCTCCCAAAGCAAATCAGCAGGCAAGAGTTCAAATTCTGCAACTATTGTGCACCGGGGATAGATGGGTGACAAACACAGGGGTACGCATCCCAAAACAGAGGCATTGACAGGCCAGAACGTTACCCGAATCTATCGGTAGAGCACGTCAAAAAAATTGTCGTATCTGTCTTGACAATTCCGCCACCAGGAACGACTCGACGGAAGGAATAGTCCTATAGAGTACTCCTGTACGGAATCTTCTGTGTCCATTTTATGCACTGACAAAGCCACAAGGCAACAACGCCACGCATTCATCTCGCCTGCTTCACGGCCCAAAGTTTTGCTCCGCACGTCCATCCACCCATTCGCTCTGAACGCCCAACCTCGGCCATGCACACAGCCGACCCCGCCCACGCCATCGTGCGCACGGCGCGGGGGGACCAGTTCCTGCAGACGAAAACTTGGGCGCCATCTTTCCGCAGACTCATCGGCATTCTTATGCCGACAGTCCCATCAGAGGACCGACGTGCGCCCATTCGCCCAACACCACCCACCACAGGCTCAACCATGGCGTCCAAATCACCCCACCGCAGGGCCCTGCCGACCGACCCCCACCTTTCCACCTCCCCCCCGTCTTCTTCAGATTGGCGTACGCCAAGTGCATCGCCAGAATGTTGTACGCGTTGCAGTAGAAAGCCAGGTCCCTCGCCGTGCGCCTCTCGAAGCCGTCAAGCCGTCCAAACGACTCCGCTACCCGCACGTTGTGCCTCAGAGCGCCCGGACCCTCCTCCAGCATCAGATCATACCGCACCAGGCCCTCGCGCGTAATGTACCGGTCCATGGGCCGCCAGTCCGGGTCGGTCGCGCCCCGATCGGCGCCCATTGCCGTCGCCAGCACCAGGGGCCTGCAGCAAAGCAGCGAGGAGGGGGTCTTAGGCGACCGGGGCCCGACCGCGGGCTGTCTGGGGGGCGCCCAGGCGCCGGTGGCCAGGGCATGCCCGGCCAGCGCGAGCGCCATGGGGCCGGCTCTGCGGGGACTTGGCCGTCGGTAAGGTGCCGTCCAGCCCTGTGGACGCAGGAGGGCAGCTCGAGGCATGAGAGGCAGAGGCCTAATACACCTATTAGTCTTGTCCGCGTGGGCATAAAATTACTCCCCGTTCTTGTTTGCTGAGATTAGGTTCTTGTTTTCGGACACCCTGAACCCCAACTACTGATCCACACACCGGGACTGGCCTTGTCAGCGGAACAAGAACCGAATCTCAGCAAACAAGAACGGGGAGTAATATATTCTCGTCCGCGTGGATCCCTCCTTCCGCTGACAAGGCCAGCGCGGGTCGGCCGGCCAGTGCTTTTAAGGGTGTTTTAAGGTGTCTGGAAAAGAAAAGAAAAGAAAAGAAAAGAAAAGAAAAAAAAGAAAAGAAAAGAAAAGAAAAGACAGAGCGGCCAATCTCATGCCCCGCCGAGGGGCACGACGTGGCAACTTGGATTTTGCGTTTTCTGGGCAGATTCTCGAATACCCATGTCCAGCGCTTCCCGCCAGCGTAACACCGCAACGCGTACGGCTCGTCACGTGCGCACATCCCCGCCCAGCGCTTGTGCCCCGGGGCCAGCGCCCGCCGCGCCTCCCACAACCGCGAAATGGGGGCGCGGCCCTCCCGCGCCCAGGCCGGCCCCGCGGCGCTGACAGTAAAAAAAGCGCGTTTCTTTGGCCGGGATCGCGACGTCCGCGATGCCAGCGGCGTCGTTGGCCGCATCCTCTTCTCTCGCGACTTCGCCACGGCCACTGTTGTCGTGCGCGGGGAGCGCTACGAGGTCTTCAGGCTGCACCTGCGGCTGAAGAAGGGCGGCGAGGAGGTCATGTCGTCCGTGGAGGCCAAGGGTGTGTACAGCAAGCTGACGACGGATTACATGGGCCGCCGGTATGTGATGGAGTACATCAGCAGCGGGTGGGTCGTCAGGTGCGGCGTGCAGGAGGTGGGGAGGTTGAGTCGGCGGTGGCTCCGCTTCGGGGAGGGCGTGCCGCTGCTGCTGCAGGTGCACCTGCTGTGGTACACGCTGCTGCCGGACGTGGCGCTGGCGGTGAGGGCGCTGGACATCACCCGGATGTACGCGGGGGCGAGGAAGATTGGCTATTGCAACTGAGGACGGTCTTGGCGGTCTGGGAAATTTATTGATTGATTGATCGGCGTCACTGCTGCGGGCAGGAGTTAGCTTGTGGCTGTGAAAGCCGTTAACGTTTGCAGGGCGTAGTGCAAAGCACCTGCTGTGAATGCCCAGGCTTGAGCTAATGTTGGGCATTGGCATCCAAGGATAATGGGATGAGCTCTTCAGATAACTTGCTTCTATGACGGGAGGGACTCCTGTCCCAAGGTTGCCAAACATACACCAGGAATGCCTTCTCCTCCACTCTGAGGATTTCTAAGCTACCTCTGAGCAGCAAGGGCCACATCCATGCACATTCTCTCGTAAAAAATGTGAATGTGGTGGCATCCCCTCATCTAGTGGAAGTCACGGCAAAGGCTTCAATCCGCCTCATTCTCTACCTTCTAAACCAGAACATGCCAGCATTAACGCAGCTAGAAGCGGTTGTCCGTCTTGTTAGGATGCAAGGAAATGCAGCAGAAATGTCAGGCAGCCCAAAGCTGTACCTGGTGCTGGCAGCCTGCAACATGCTGATCCTGTGTCAGCGATTCTGTGACCTGCAGCCACCATAAATGCCACAAGTACCCTGATAGACACAAGACATCACCAAACGAAACGCTTCTGCAAGAAAGCACATGTCTTTGGGACTCGTCCACGCTCACACTTCAGGTGTGGCTGATCGCTATCGTCCCTGTGACGAAGCAGCAACGCTAGCACGCTGTTTTGTTGGAGATTTTGTGGGAGACAGGCACCCTGGTGAAAACTGGTGTGATTGCGAGGGATACAGCAGAAGGGAGGATCGGCGTGATCTGATTCATGCCACCTTATGCATACACGTTTGGAATTCGCTTCATAGTTAAATCTCTGGCTGCCTGTTGCCTTCGCTCAGGGAGCTCACTGCACAGACAGGACAGATGCACACAGGCACAACGTCACATTCCCTGTGTACTTTGAAATATTAAACCCTTCCGCATCAGAAAATTTCACCGTTATGCTTTTGCTCCGCAATTTGTTTTTCACAGCGTTATTTCTATTTTTTTTACGTTGCTCCGCACAGAAAGGCCAAGATTTGCGTTACTATTTATATTATTTTCTCCGCAAAATATGACCAAGCGTTACGTTACTATGCGGAAGGGTTTAATATTTTGCAGTAATGCACAGATGGGAAAGCGCTGTTTTAATCGCGGACCACAGCGGCCCACAACGCCCTGTGATTATTGGAGCTTACAGCTTTCAGAAGGACCAAACCAGCACTTGCACCAACAAGGCGACGACGGGCTCTTGCGACCTCCACAATGTGTTTACCAGAATGCTCATGAATGCATCGAATGTACTGTTAGCAGCAGTCGCCACAGGACCAGGCAGACAAAAGGGACACAGTCCATTCGTTGTCCTTACAAGCAAGGATAGAGCACCGTGGAAGGAGCACAAGGAACAAACAATGAGCAGGGCTGCAGCCATGCTTGGAATCTAGGGACCAGCAGACCTGTTAACAGAACTGGATGTTTCTGCCATGAAAGATTTCCGGCCTGGTTGCCTGGTGGTCCACGATAGCGAAAAGCTGCACCTGCCTGTAGCAATGTGCACGTGCACATATGTGCAAGCAAGCACTCTGCCAGGCAGCATGTACATCAAATGATCCATGTCCTGGGCTCCAAAGCCGCAAGAAGACAGGCATTGTCAACCCTACCTGCCATCAGCACGGACAAAAACTACAACCATGCCCAGCGAGTCTGCACAAGGAAACCAACACACCTGTGTGCGTGCCACAGGCATGCCAACAAACCCAATCAAGTCACCCAATGAAGAATCCCCAAATGCCTCACACCTCACTGACATCAAGCGATTGTCACCCACATGGTTCAGCAACCCCGCCTACAAATCTATATGGTAAATATTGCTCTTCTCATCCTCTCGAATCTCCCGATTTCCCCTCACAACTCGTCCGGGGACCCCAACATGGCTATATCCTGGAGCACCTGCGACCGTCGCTGTTCCTGCCCAACGGGCAGTGCCTCCCTCATCTGCTCTATTATCCTGAGATCAGGATCCAGTTTGGTGGACCAACCTTCAAGCACCAGTGTTGTGGCCACAAGTGAGCTCACCGATCCCTTCAGCGTCACCTCATATTCCCTCACCCTCTCCAGCATCGCCCGCATCACCTCTGCAGTGTGTTCCCGAACGGCGTCCTTATCCAGACCATCGAAGAGATCCTTCATGCTCGAGATAAAGGAGTCCCGTCCCTGGGCAACGGAAAGTGCACAAGGCATGAGCTCAGCAAGGACTGCACATTAACCCATCGACATTTCTGCTGAAGATGCAGATCTTTGTAGCAGTCTGGGTTTGCTGCCTGATGCACACTGAGGCTTCGTGTTCAGCACAATTACACAGGCCCTGATAGGACAAGTGCTGCAAGCTCTGAATGACTGGTTGTGGATGACAAGCACTGTGAGTTGTACTCTGGCTGCATGAACTCTCTGCCATTGTGGTACAAACCACACATCCCTTTCTGTGCCCATAACTTGCGGATGTCAGTGCTCTTGCAGAAGAATCTACAGTGTAAACAGTATTGTGCACCCTGTATCGCTCTGGCAGTGGAACAGGGCATCTTGCTGTCATGTGCGAATGGCACATGTTGACACTGGATGGGCTGGCATATGGGGGCTGCTTCCAGGCAGTGTCAGAGAACATCAGCGCAAAAGGCTGCTATGCCCAGCTATAAGGCAACTTTTCCTTACAACACTGGGGTCTGTGCTAATCCCACAGCAGACAAGAATCTACAACATATTGCGGCACTGTGCTCCGAGGGAATAATCAGTCAAATAGGTGACATGGACTCACATGTGCGACATATGGCTTGACTATTTCTGCAGCTTGCATGAGCATGCAAGGGCTATCAGTTCACCAACCCCAAAACACATCAAGCAACAGCCCCTACCATTAGGTGAAACCCAGTTTGGGGAAAATTGCTTTTGCACTTTGCGCAGCAAAATGCTAGGTGGAGCACTGCATACCTTGCAGTATGGTTGGTGGGAAAGGCTCAGCATGCATTCCGCCGCCGTGGCTCCATTTAGCTCTGTCAGAGCCTACATTCCATACAACACAGTAACTTTCTCGAAGGGCACTCGAAAGTAGGATGATATGCACAATGGAACACCACTGGTGTCCCAGGCAATAATTGGGAAGGTAGCCAGCATGAGGAATCCTCCCATTCAAAACCTTCCACAGCAATAAAGGAGGAAGCCAGCCACATCAATGGTGCTTAAGCTGACAGAGACTACCGTTTCTTTGGCCACAGCAGACGGCTTGTTTTTCAGCCAGGCGTTGGTTCTGGAGCACTGTCTGGAGGCAATATCCAGCAATCTGGTCTCAATTCTCGCCCTGACCAAGTGATGGCGTTTGAAAGTACACATGCACATAGCGTGCATATGCAGAAGCTGCGTACCTGAAAGAACCCGACGACACCCTTCTGGTCATCCTTGGACAGCTCTGTTACCATCCCAGCATCCAGAAGCACCAAGTTGGTAGGAGATCCCATCCCAAACCTTCGGGTCGCCCAGCCCAACCATGACCGCCTGTCAGTGTGCCGGACAAGGATATTTCCAGGGTGCAAGTCCGCATGCACAAAATTGTCCCGGATGAGCATCTTCAAGTACATGTTCAACCCAATCTTTGCAATCGTTGCCGTATCCTTTCCATCAGGGCTGTGCACATACCCCGACATGCCATTGCCGATTTCAAATGTCTCCACCAGGACAGAGGGTGTGACGAAGGGATGCAGTGGGTCAGGAAATCCGATTTGGCTCCACCATCGAAAGTTTTTGTTGAACTTCTCCAGGTTCTTGGCCTCCCGGACAAGGTCCAACTGGTCGTGCAGTGGGCCGCCAAACTGCCGGACACTCTCTGACAGCCTGAGTTTTGAAAGGCCAGGCAGCTTCTCAGATAGAGAGAACGTCCTCATCATCAACGAAAAGTCTTTCCTCACAAGGTCATTGACCCCAGGATGGCGGACCTTGACAGCCACCACCGTCCCCGCCCTGCACCCGGTCCATGACGCACTGGCAGGGCTCAGCACGGCACGATGAATTTGCGCTATGCTGCCAGATGCGATCGGTTTGATGTCGAATTCGTCAAAGATCTCGCTGATTGGCAGACCAAAGGCCCTCTCCACTGCCATCTTCGAGTAGCCAGGATCGTGCACTGGTGCGTCTGTTTGAAGCTTTTCCAGGGCGAGGCACAGATCGGCCGGGAACAGATCTGGTCGGGTGGCCCCCCACTGGCCCCATTTTTGAAATGCCGGCCCTGCATGCTCAAGCGTCCACAGCACCAGCTTGTACCACATCAGCCGGCTCCCCTCAAAGTGCAAGAGCACGGGTGCAGTGAGAATGACAGGGGTGAAAAGCAACCCCAGGTAAACGGCCCTAAGCAGCAATGCCAGCTCCTCAAGAACTCTCTCAATAAAGATTTGGATGACAGTAGGGGACGTGGTGGCCAGCGTGGTGCAAGACGGGTTGCTGGCAGCGGCAGACGCCCACTGCCCTCGCATGTGCAGCACGGCAGGTGATGTGAAGACGAAAGTGGCAGCCGCAGGGATCCCAAAGCGCAGTACATCCTGCACACGCCAACGCCAAATTAGCCCCGCCAAATCACCGCTCAGGATGAACTGTGTCAAAACAGACTCGCGATGAGCACTAAACAAGCTACCGTATGGGCCAGCGTGGATGTCAGTGCCAGCACCGTCGTGGCAGCAGGGGCTGTTCCAAAGAACGACTATCCAGCGCTGCTGCCCGCGTTTTCGACTGTTGCAGAGAGCACGACTTCTCACACTAAGGGGCCATCCAGTCATCTCACTTTCATGCGCACTCTTCAGAACTTTGTGCCGCAGTCGACGATGCAACAGAGTCCTCTCAAGCATACCAGGAGGATCAAGCAACAAGCGCGCCCACGGGCGCCTCGCGGTTAACACTGCGAAATCATCGATGCGGGAGCTGTTGTGCGCCCATGGCACTCGTAAATACGACTACACCTGGCAGGCTCTCAAGGCATTGCCCAACGCACCCGATGCCCCCAATGCACCCCATTCGCCCAGTGCCTCTGCCGTCACAACGCGCTGCGGTCGCAACGGTGATTTTTTCTGTTTGCTTCTGCAAAGCCCCACCTGCCCCGGCGCGCTGACCACGATCGAGTTGAGCAGCGCCACGGCCTTGAACTCCAGCTCCGCCCGCTTCCTGGCCACCTCCCTCGCCGCCGCCCTGTGCGCCCGCCGCACCGCGTCCACCGCATCATCCAGCCCCCGCCTCAGCCTGCCGCTCGCCAGATCTGCCCGGAGCTCCGCGATGGACTCCAGGGCGCGGCATCGGATCAGGGCCCCCTCCGACAGCAGCAGGCGGCCCAGCGGGAGGGCGGACGGCGGCAGGGCGCCATTCAGCAGGGACGCGCAGAGCCTGCGCGAAGCCGATGCGAGGGATGGCTCCGATTGAGCCGACAGGCTTGGCAGGGTGGCCGGGGAGTGCCTGGCAATCCGGGAGGATTGGATCAGGGCGCGCAGGGCGCGGGGCCATCGCCGGAGCATGTGCCAGGCGAGGGCCGCGGCGCACGGGCGTGCCGCGAGGCGGGAGCGGGGGTGGCTTGGTCTGGCGCGGCCGGCGCCGGCTATTGGGACGGCCCCGGGGCGGTTGGAGGGCGGGGCGGAGGCGGCGGGCTGTAACGCCAACGGGGGCCCAACATCTGGCCCAAACTGGGCGCGGGGTGTGTGTGGGAGAGGGGATGGCGGGGGGCACTGTGTGTGATTTTACTGTGCGGTCCCCTCGGTGTTGGAATTGGCTTGGGAAAAGGGCAGAGGTGGGGAGGTACTTTACACAAGGCCATCGAAGGCTGGGTGAAGAGCCAAGTGTGCAAGTGCACGCCTCCACGTGGGCAAAGAGGGGGCCCTTTTGGCGCCGATACGCTGGCTTGGGGCCAGGACTATGCGGCAAACGTGGCCACGGGTTTGGAGACACAGCCAAGGGAACAGAGTTACGGAGAGATCGCGAACAGGCATGTCCCCTTATAGTCACAGAGCCATCTCTCAGTCATGGACTGTCACTGCCGTATCAGCGCCTTGCGGAACTAATCTCCGGCAACCCGTTTTCCTTCCTGACTCGCGGGTCGCGGCCGAACACATTCCGCCCAGTGGTCTGCCGGCTGCCGCGCAGGAAGGCCGCGGGATTTCGCGTGAGGCGCGGCGACCCTGGCATGTCTGGCCCGGCGGACTCCTATAGGGCCGAGTACACCAAGAGGAGGGCGTACGACAGGACGGTGGCGAAGCAGCAGGCCCTGCTGCAGGTGCGGGCCTAAGAGAACAGCGGGCGCGGAGGCAGAGCGGCGCTGGCTGGCCGCCTGCCCTGCTTTTGAACTCGACACAAAGCCACGCATCAGGGTTTGTTTGAGCCGGGCGCGCGGCGCACGGTTGCCAAGGGTTGGTACTGGAGAGCGCATTAGCACCACCCGGCGGTGTTGTCGCGTCCCCGTGCGCTGCGGCGCCCTCCTTGCGCTGGTCGACCTTCGAGTGCAGGCACGGGCGCCGAGATGCAGGATGCACTGTCGGACCTGCCCCTCTCTCCAGGGCCATCCAGTCTTGGCGGCTTCACCGAGCTGCAGGCGCGGGGCTCTGTGGCAATCCTGAATCTGTTGACCTTGTTGTTCCTGTCCCGCGCACACCAAGAACTGGCCTTGTTTGTCAGGTCCAGTCGCCTCGCAGCGACGCGAGAGGTTGCCTCACAGACAGTTGTGGCCTGGCCAAAGCGGCGCTCGGCACCCCCAACAAGCCGGCAAGAAGGCGGGACAAGGACTTGTTGGAGTGCAGGAGCGCCATTCAAGAGCTTGAGCAAAAGGTGGGCTAGGGTTTGCTGGCGCCACAAGCAGTGCCGTACACTTCACATGGACGACTGATGCCACCTGCTGCTCGGAATCTGGTGTGTTGGGTCACCAGTGGCAAGTTCAGGGTCAGGAAATCGCATCAGGCACTGGGGTCCATGCGATGCACAGAATATCCTTCTCCGGCGTTCAAACAACGCACTGAATCCTCAAAGAGAGAGGCAGACATGTCTCCATACATCCTCTTGATGAGCTGGACTTCTGCGACCATTTCTATGCTGAAAGATGTTGCAAGAATTAGCAGACAAAATGAAACAAGTGTGCTGCACAAGTAGAAAACTGAATGGGACAGGTGGCATGAAATGTGATAATAATAGTAAGGAGCTGTTGTGCCATGGTACCCGCTAGCAACGAAAGCCTATGGGGATACACAAAGTTGGGACAAATGGTGCAGCCTGCCTTTTGGCTATACTCCCCAATCACAACATCGCCTCCACTTTGTATCACCAGGTCGTTGCAACAGCACAGCTGGTGCAGTGCAGCCAGAGCCTGTCAGAAGAGCAGCTGACTGCACAGTCAAGGGCCGTCAGTGCGATCTCAGAACAGGTGCAGGGCGTTGAAGGTGCCGTGCAGACGTTGCGGGCTAAAGTAGACCCTGGGCAATCCCTGATCAGTGTTGGCACTTCCAGGCAAGTCATGATTGGTGAAAGCCCCAGCGACGGGCATGCTGATAGGGTCCAGATATCTTTGGAAGGCTGGTGCAAGGAGAAGGAGAAGGAACTCAGAGAACTGAGCGAAGATGCAAAGGCAAAGTTGGACAAACAGTTGCAGTCGGAAGTGAGAGATTTTCGAATTGGCAAGGCAGCGCTGGAGAACAGGATCGACGACATGCGGGAGGCCTTTCAGGGTATGGATGTTGAATGCAGCCTTGTCATTGGAGCTTGCGGTTCATTCCTTTCGATGGTGCAGGTGATGTGGAATTGTGGCCTGAATGCCAATGAAGGGATGGTGTTCTCTATCATTATGGGTCAATAAAATATTTGTCGTGAGTGCACGATCGACCGGCACTGTGTTGCAGGATTCCTGCACTGTTGATCCAGAGGGTACATCGAGCTCTGTGAGCTACACCAGCTGCTGGCTGCTAAGCCAGCTGGCAGCTGCCAGATACAAACCTACTGCACAACTCACCGGTGCTGCAGCTGAATCGTTGATGGAAGCAGTTGAATTCATTCATATACTTGTGCAATGGCTGAATGCTCTTGTTCAGTTTTGGCTTAATAAGCATCCGGGTTGCGCCTGATCGCTGAGAATGCCTAATCAGGCCTTCACATATGTACTCACCTTGCAGAGCCAACACACTGCACAATTCAAACAGGGCACAATTCCATGCCTTTCCATTCGTATCAATTGCCCGTTTGATTGGCTTGTTTGCTGAAGTCAGGCCGTCTGGGTTCACTGGAGACTTCTCTTGTCACCAAGATTCAAACCGTGCAAGATGGGTTGGATAGAGTCCTCGCATTGGACCACAGGACCACGCCGCGAAGCATCGCAGCAGCTGGCTTGGATAGCACAACGCCCACACTTGAGAATGCAGACTTTGGCCACCACAATAGCTTGGAGGGGCGGCAAGTATGCCAGCATCTTTGTCAAGCAGCAGGTGCAAGCATTCAGATTGATCAAGCCAATCCCCCTCACAGAGATGCCTGTGTCCAACACTGTCCAGACGACAACCATGGCCACAGCCCAGCTCTGTGCAAGACCTGGGATCGGATTGGGGAGCATGTAGAAACAGGATCCACAGCCAGACGGCCTATGACAGAGCTCCAGAACCTCGGGGAAGCAGACTTGAGGAGCTCTGTGGATGAGGCATGCTGCATTTTGGCCCGCATGCATGACACTTTTGCGGGCATTAGATCAGCACTGCAGGTCATGTGTGATGGGGCTGTACCTGTCGAACAGCTGCTAAGGGATGAGGAGCCACAGTCCGAAGGCCGCTTCAAGGGCTGTTGCAGCACAATGCACGCATGTCGTGTGGGACAAGCCGAAGGACCAAGCCTGGCACGAGTTCCAATAGTGATGGGGGCAGATGCGCAGTATTGCGGTGGGAATCCAAGTGTACTGCCATCTGAAACAGGTTCACAGTACCGCACCAAGATCTCCAGTGAAAGAATGCCCTGCAACGTTGCCAAACCTCCCCTGCCGGGTCCGCTGCAGTGGGGAAGATGGCAAGCGCCTGGGTCGTTACACGTCCTGAGGACAGCGCAGCCACTTCAAGCCAAGCCCTCCCCAGCAGCGCCCTGTGCGTCCACCCAAAAAATCCCCAGCCAAACATCGCTTTCAGCACAGTGGCCACGCCAGGACAGATCCGCAAGCTGTGCCACCGAGACGCCACTGACCAGGGAGTCTTCAGGGAGTCCCAGCTTGTCGGAATGGCATCCGCCAACAGCCAATCACAGCGAATGCAGCTCCAACCACAGGGTCCATCTAGTCCCGCCTGCACCCATGGTCGATACACACAGGGGCATGGAGAACGACATGCTGAATGAACTGGGTTGCCCTCCTGCTGAGACGGGAAAGGGAGTGGTCTCCCCAGCCAGCGACCCTGGTTCTGGGGACTGTCCTTCAGAAGTTTCCCTTCCGGGCGCTTGGGCGCCGATACAAGCCCAACGACCGCGATGGAATGATGAGAACGTGCCTATGAACAATGGATGTGGGGGAACATCGAGTAAATCGCGTTCCCAGCTTGATGAAAAACTGGAAGGGGCGCGCCAGGTGGCACCTTCCTGATGGTGACAAGGCCACTGGGACTGAGTGCCCATTGCCACCGCCCAGTCCGTGGGTCTTGAAACGCATGTCGGCAGACAGGAGGAGACAGCTTCAAAGGCTGTATGCAGAGCTTCAGGCACTGGATGACTGATGCTCAAATAGGTCTCTGCTGCTCGAGCAGGCTGCTTGTGCCCTTTCAGCAGGGGCAGCAAGAGGGACATCATAGAGGATGACTTCCAGCGGCAAGGGCCAACTTCAACACTCACATGTGTGCAATATTGTGGACTCGAAGTGCAGTTGGCTCCTGCATCCTTCCCATACTTTGCCATGGAGCTCAAGGAGAAATTCGTGCGGAAAAGTGGCCTAAACAAGCTCTCCACAACATGTGCACATGCCACAGGCTGCAAAACCTGGAAGGAAATACGTCATGTGCCATTACAACGGATGTGTTCAAACCTCAAGATCATTCCATCCCAAACTCAACAACCAGGGCACTGCAACCCTGCCCTCATGCCACCGCACCACACGCCGACTGCTCCTTGCAGTGCCCCGCTCAACGAATGTCGTCTGTCCCACTGTGCAACCCCAGGCAATGTGCGTGTCATGCACTCCCAAAGAATGTTAAGAAGAAACTCGATAGTCAAACCCTTGACGACTCTAGACGTCGACCTTTCAAAGGTTTCGAATCGAAGCACTGGCGCTAACGTTGCTGCCGATCGTGGCTCTGGGAGCCCACTGTCCATGGCGACTGACAATGCGGGCATTGGGATTTGCCCGATTGCCTGAACCAACGGTACAGGCAGGCCCCGTGGAACTGCACACTGCAGGTGGCGCAACGAAGCCGTGGCGTCTCCCGGTTCGAGGGGTGCACCACGCTGTAGCAAATTAGGCACGGCTCCACGCCCTGGAAGGCCCTGTCAACGTTCTGCTTCCAGAGGGACACTGCCTCCAGGAGCGAACCGTTCTGGTGCCACATGAACGCGGCTATGGACAGCAGCCACTTCCGCAGCTGCGTGTCGTTCACGCCCACCTGAAGGTGTCAATATCAACATGAGATTGCGTCCAAATCAAATTCAACCAACCGATGGCATGCGCAAAGGAATTATACAAATGTCACCAATGCAGTTTTGGACACGCAGCCAGGCACTATACAACATTTCAAATGTTGATACTCTACAATGTTTCTGTATATCAACGTTATAATGCATGACATTTCTTGACTGATCTACTGATAAACCTGTGTGCCATTGCCAACAAGGAAGGTGATTTCCTGTCCGTTCTAACTTCATCGATTGCTGGTGGTGGTCACAAGTGTACGCTAAATGACGAATGACCTCTACCAACTTGCATTTCAAACACGGTTTTCCTGCAACTGACGAGTCCATAATGCACGACAACATCTCACAACGATGGACCCTGACGACTGACTCTGACTCTGACGATGAAATACGGGGTCACTACTGCCACTGCATCGATCACTGCTGGGGCCCATTGTCACAACAACAGCATCTCGATGACGTCAAATGCGTCTGACGCACACAGCACCGGATCGTGATCTGCAGCATGCTATACCTTGTTTTGGCATTCCACCTCAGCAGGCTTCAAGGGGGTGCAGCTGGGGAGTTTGATGACCAGCTCCAACATCGAAGTTTCCTCAATCTCCATGGTTGCAATGACCTCACCCCTGCCGGGTACGCATCGCGTCTTGAAAGTGTCGTCAGCCGAGGCTGCAGCGGACTGTGAGGCATCGAGGCAGCCACAACATCAGCACAGACACAAATTGCGCAAATGTTTCATGGCTGCATTTGCAAGATTTTCGAGAATCGGTGTCCTTCCACCGAGATACAATGATGGACACTTTGGTCATAGTGATGTTTGTTCGAGGGCCTCCCTGACTGCCTCACAGCACAGGTTTCACCGCAAGTGCATGTGTCTCCACCGATCGTCTTTCTTGTGGGAGACGAGGCATGAGCAAATCGCAATAAACACCAATAAAGTGCGACTCCAGAATGCAAGGAACGAGCCTACAGAGGAATTAGCATGCACTGTTCAGGAAAGTAAACCACATCTTGGAAAGCAAAGAACCAAGAATTGGCTCATGTGCACAAGCAAATGCCCTTATCAATGGCTCCGTTTTTGGAATGATCCATTGCAAACAATTCTCAGAGAACCAGCGAGGACACTTTGTGGTGAAAATGCCAGCCAAACAATTCAGCAGATCCTTCACTTGCGTGTCTGTATGCAGCCCAGCACACATTTCATCCAACCCCTTACCTGCACAAAGTCGAACTCCCTTTGAATCAGCGCCGGGCTCTCCTGTTCCTCGGTGTACGCTTTGACTGCCATAGCGAGTGCCTTGTCCCTGACATCCCCAAACCATGTCCGAGCACTGGCTGGGAAGACGATGAGCACGATGTGATACATCTGCACAGCCAAAGCCTGCCAGTCCTCATCCGTGTTGGGTGCACCGATGCGCCGAATCAGCAGCTGAAGCTGGCCGTCCCTCATTTTCAGGAGCTCAGCAGCTGAGTTTGTTCGCTTGTACTTTTGCTTCTGGCCAGCTCGCTGAAGCGGCAGCAGCGGGGCAAGCTTGTCGAGGAGGACGGATACCAAGCTGGTGGGCTTCTGAAGGGCTTGGGTCAGTCTATGCCGCCGCTGTGAGGAGCTGCTGAGTCCGATCAGGTGCACAAGCATCAGACTCCAGGCACAAAGGAACAGGCCTGTTTGGTCGGGGCGGGTGAGAGTGGGGGCCAAGCAGGTGTGGATTCCTGCACACGAAGACGCAGGAATTTGGACTCAGGCTGTCAAACACAAAGGGGCAAATCTGCAGTGGCACACAAGGCGCGACCCAACACCACCCAGATGTAGGCGCAACAGGTGCCAGGGCACAGTGGTTTGTCTTGTTTGGACATCTGTAAATGGTGAGAATTTTTGCCCTCACATGATGCATTCCTGCATACAAATCACCTGGGAGCAGGGTAGAAGGCAGGAACACGCAGCAAACTCAATGCACACTGTGAAGTGCTGTATTGGGTAACCATGCCGATGTAATGGCAGCAGCTCTCGCTCCCTTTCCCATCCGGGGAAAAACAACCAAATGTGAGAAGCGTGTCGGCAACCAAGACAGCTACTGACCTGCATCAACCAGCAGCTGCACATCATCCCCCTCCTCCATTTCTTCCGTCGTATCTTCATTCAGAGCCGTGGCCATCGTCAGCTGCGATATGGCTTGCTCAGAGGCTGCCATCCTGAATGCTGCCATGCGCAGGCTATCCAGTCTGTGAGGTAGCAGTGCCAAGGCAAGGAGGCAACGTGCAGGATCGACACCAGTGTCATCTGCCCAAGCATCCATCGCCTCCAAAGCCTCAGCCATGATGCCCTCTGCACACAAACATAGCTTTTCATACAAGGCCCGCCACATTCCTTGCTATTCACAATGTGAAAACAATTGTATGGTGCTCTGGACGATCCTCCCCCCCTCCGAAACTTTCACAACAACGTTGCAGAATCCTATTGAGCCCCAAAGCCCTTGCAAATTGTGTAAACTTTGATGCACACTGCACAACAATTTTCTGTTCTCAAAGTTAGATCCACCACCACAAATAATTGCAAATCCATCGAAGGCTACCCAAGCCACAAGAGTATACACGCCGCATTCGTGACTGAGATCCTGGCCTGGTCTCGCAGGCCTTCGAGGTTTGAAACACCAGCATTCTGTGGCCAAGGGCCGTCTCCTGACCCCTGCTATCCTTTTATGGGCACAATGGCAGCTCTTTGTTCACTGTTGGCACATTCAATGGTCTATCACCGGCTCCTGGCGTTCACACCAACAACCTATCGCAATTCACTCCTCAGCTTACTTTCACACCAGTTACTCCCATCGCCATCCCCACCCCAAGCGTGTTTTCCTGGCTTATGTGCTACTCTCTACTGTGTGCTTTCATGCTGCACTGCAGAGACTACCGCATCACCTCCCTCATGCAGCTTGAAGACTTCGGAGTGCCCAAGTTCGCTGGCATTCATTTTCGCTGCAAGCAATTCTCCAGAACCAAAACCACATGCACATCTTAGGCAAATCAGTCCATGTGAAAGTTTCCTGCAGTAAACACAGCAACACGAGTGTTTGTTGAAAAACAGACGTCCAATGGTGTGGAACAAGCTTGCAGGAGACGCACCATCAGCCTGTGCAGTGTCCACAAGCCTCGACATGGCATTCCATAGCAAGTCCATCCGTTCCAGCAGGTCTCCCGCGTTGCTCCATGCTGCCTCGCCACCAGCATGAGCCAGGGACAGTATCGATCCAGCACAAAAGGTGCACCTCATACAGTCCAGCAGTATGTCACGCACGCGCATCTCTGCACGCCACTTGTCAGCACTGAGGCGGCCAATGCCCTCCATTGTTGGGTGCAGCAAAATCGCCAATGTTTGTGCCCAAGGTGATTGATTACTGCACATCGACGTCAACGCACAGAGCTCCATCTCTTGAACAGCCTGTTGGCCAAAATAAAGAAATCACTTACCACTGCCCATATATCTGGCAATCACTGCCTTGCACCAACTTTTCTGCCTTGCAAACGAGCACAAAATGGGGCTGAAACAGATGAAGTGAGGAGACGGGAAAGGGAGGGACTTGATAACACACACTGATGGCATCCAGCACATGCAACAGATCTGTTGAATCTTCTCAAGACCACATACCAATCATAGGTGTCCAAAAGTCAATGCGATGGCTGTTGCACACATGAACACATTAATATGATCCAGAGCCAACCCCTTACTGACAATTCTCAACTCCTTATCAATATCAGTTCCTGTGCCGTTGGCTGGCAGCTACCTTTGCAACAGCGTTGTCCTGGGGCACGATCCCCACACGAGAAAGCTGGCCCAAAAGCTCAAGCCCCATGGCTGGCGTTTCGACTTCGTGCTCACTGGCCTCTGCAGCACAAGTGACCACTGAGGCAGACAACGACTCCACACACTCTTCTAGCTTGGTTACAATTGTGCCAATGCCAGCCTTCGTCCTGGATGAGCACAAAGAGTCAGTACAGTGCCTTTTATGTGCAGAGAAAAGCACACAGGCATGCCATGCCACCACCATATTGCCATTAGTGTGGACTCCATAATGGCCAAAATGAGGATAGTGAATTTAAGAGCTCGCTATCATTCTCGGATGCTTCATCGTCATTGGCCAAGTTGGCCACAGCCCTGTCAAATTTGGAAACTGCACTCTGCTGAAATCTATGATATCCAAATTCAATGAGCAGCACTAGTTCCATACTTAACCAAGTTTTCCTATGGGGCACACCCAAGGGCGACTGTGACATAGAGCTGCCCTCTCTTTCAATTTCTGTGTACTACTCCTTGTTATCATATGTACTGAATGAGACATACCAGTTCCCTGTCCAGGAATGTTGCTTTCACCACATGTTTACTCAAGATCCTGACATGCAACTGTGCACCCAACAAGTTAGATCACAGGCAATTTTGGACACACTTGCCCTCAACAAAGGCCCAAGCATGGGTGCCAGGAATTCACAGGTCATGCATCACAAGCAGGTCCATAAGCGACTGATCAAGTCCCAGGGCGAACACCACAGCTTGAAAGCCTGCACACTGTTTGCGAAGATTTTCAACGTGTGTGAAGTAGTCCTGTTTGCCCCAATCACCTGTCCATGAGCCATCGCCAGTCGTCTGTGCCAAGCTGCTCACTGCAGTATGCCACCACTCTCAGGCCCAATTGTGCAAGGCTCTCATCAACACCAACCCTCTCACATTCGTTTAGCTGAGATTTCCTCTCAGCTGCTTGACAAGTGCCAGCCTTGAGCACAACAACCCATCCATAACAACTGTCAGACAGGAGAAAAAATGTGAGCAACTGGGATCTCCATATATGCAAGGCAAATTCTTGGAGTGTTGTCCATACTTTATGCCATGTTCAAGATTCTTGAATGCATCACCACATTCAGTCAGTACACAATTAGAACTCACGCGGGAGATTGAAACTGAGATGACAATTGCAGTGCAATGAAGGACAACACATCGGGCTGCTGTCCAACTCTGAACTATCAATAGCACATACTTTGCCCACCTCCGCAAGCTGCAGGTGTGGGCCCTGCGGGCTGAGTTTGTACATCCACTGCACCGATGTGTACCTTTGGTAAAATACAGAACACAACATTGTGCTATGCACCACTGCATTTGTGTGCGCGATGCCACATGGTGGTATTACACATAAGCATCCTTCAGTGGCCAAGACATATCCAGGACTATAAGCATGTATCACTGTGATCCAGGTCACAGGAATGGATCATTTCATGCGCAAACAGAATGAGATATATGACAGACAGCAGCCAGCAGTCTAACTTGCGCTTCAATGCAATGCCTATATTATAGAAGGGTTACAACTGTCCAGCACGGTACTACCTCCTCTGCAACCTGTGCTCTGTCACAAGGACTATGGCCGACAACGGCAATTGTACGTTTCTGCAGTGTTTTATACCCATTGGGGTGAACATGCAGTGGCAAATACTCTCCACAGGTGTGTGTGGGTACACTGCATCTAGGGCACAACAGTGGGAAGCATCAGGCCATTGACATCCCGACAGACCGAATCCTGCAGCTGCCTAGGTCACTTCTGCCACACTACCCACCCACCTGGCGTCGGAACAGCTCCAGCAACGAATCCCGCTCATGAGGCAGGGCATAGCCCTTGTACACAGCAGACTGCACTCCCACATGTTCCCCATTGCTATCCACAGGGAAGCACGCCAATGCGACCCTCAGCGGCCATCTGGCTTGGCAATCAGGACTCGAGGGGGAAAACAAGTTCGAGGAACATGCAGCCTCTAGCCAGATCCGCGAAAAGTCTGCCAAGCCTGACGACTTAACGATCTGCTCAGATTGTGCCCTGAGCACAGAGACGGTTCAGCAATGCAAGCAGGGGAAATTGTATGGACACGAGTTGATGGGATTGATGGAGCTCAGCGCCCACCAAAATGACAAACTTTCTTGCAACAGTTTCGACAATTGCACGGCCAAGGGTGCCAGCAACGAGCATAATGGCTCACGCAAGCAATATTGGTCGAACTGGCCTGCTACACAGGTGAGACACAATCCACCTGACATGCAAGAGGATCGTAAATATCTGGAATGTGTACAAGTCAAATCCTACCAAAACAGCCATCGAACACACTGAACATACTTCCTTGTGCCAGCCCTTAGACACTTGTCTACTGCAGCCTGATGTAATTCCCCAATTTCCCCCCCTGGCTGGTAACTTTAGCAATGCAGTAAAGCCATACCAACTGCCACATACCATGCTAGATAATAACAAGCCCAATCTTGCACATGACTCCTGCCCCAACACGTCGGAGTTTGTTCTGTGTTCCCGTGACTCCATCCCACAACGTCAAGTATAGCAGCACACTGATCCGCACTTCAGCAGACCACAGACAAACGGCAGCAGCACTCTTGGCACTGTCTATGACACCTGACATCTTGAATGCTCAACAAGAGGTGAACAAGATCAGCAGCAGACTATTCCAAACAGTGCCCCCCTGTGGCTCACGTTGTTGACAAGGTCCAAAACCAAATGGGCTGTTGCCCAATCGCATCGACGACAGCAACTGCAGCCCAGTGTGAACCATGCATACCAAGAGAATAGACAGAAACAAATTGAGGGACAGGAGCCAAAGTTACTCTTTCCATACCTGAAGCAGGGGCCAACTGTTGACAAGACAGTGATCAACACTTCCTCCACATAGGCGCTTGAATCACTTGGTGTGATTCCAAACACACACCCTCTGAAGAAATTGCTCAAGACTTCGACCACACCATGTTCGGTTGCGTGTTGAGCAAGCACCATCTGTTGCATATCATAGAGAATGTGGGCTGTGGGTGCGGACTTTTACGACACCAAACAACTATGCCAATTCTGACAAGAAGTACATCACATTCAAGGGCAATGCAATCTTTTGGAATAAAATTAAACGCGATGGACCAGACTGCACCAATGAGTACTTTTGAGTGCACACATATGCTGGCACAAAGTGCAGTTACTGGGGGCTTTGGTGTAAACACTGTTGACACTGTGGTGTGGCCCTTCACACATACTACACAGCGTTTTCAAATAACTGTCGTTATCATTGCTGATTTGTGCCAGCAGCTCAGAGAATGGCTCACATCACCTTTGGCTGAATAGCAGAAGCAAAATAGAAGCATCTGCATGCCCTGGTGACTTGTTGATAGACAATAGGCAAGCAAACTCCAAGAGATGGCAGGAGACCCATACCTGCTCAGGTGCAGCAGGGGTGACACCTGTGCTCTTTATAAACATAAGAATGAACAGGATGACTGACAATGCTGCAGGTGGTGACATGCACCAATGCGATACCAAGCACACTAGTACACTACACCAGTGTGCTCAAAATCAACGGGACTACAGTGAAGGCAAATCAGGGCCAGATACTGTTCCTAAAGCGAGTTGTGCGAGTGCAAACTGCAGCACTTGCCAACATCTCGACTTGCAAGTTAAAGCATCATGCGTATCCAGTGACTATTTTCACACACATTGCTCAGGATGCTCTTGCACACATCCCCTGTCATTAGGCGGAGCATGGGCATTTGGTCAAAACACATCCACCTTTTTGAACACAGGAATCACCACTTTTCCTCCTTGCCAAACTGAAACAACTCGAAATCTCAGCACTGCACTTGACACATCTGACAAAGCACAGCCTCTGCACGGAAATTCAGCAACTGTGGGCAAACAACACCATTTAATGGCTGTATTATTGTAGCATCAAACACCGTTTGGTCCCCTTTCATTCTCTTTTCATGGGCATCGCTCATGGTTTTGGTCCTTCCAGGAGACCTTACCAGTGAATCATGCAGTGCTCCCACAAAGGGTTGTGCAGTCTGTAGTCCCATTGCTAAGCAGTAATCCAGAACCCTCAATGGCAGACTGTGGAGTTTCCCCTCAGCAACCTCTTGAGAACTGAGGGCTTCCTCTTCTGCAGCTGCTGCAGTGGCCACAGCACTCACCACTAGATGGTCAAGCACGTCCTCTGCCCCTCCCGCACATGTGTCCTCGCCCTAGGGCACAAATGCAAGGTTCAGGATATACAATGACACCCTGAGCAAACTGCCAAGGGCAGCAAAACACTTCAGCTGGTGCAGTGGTTTGGAGACAAAGCCAAGGCTATGAAGGATAGCATGATAATTTGTGTCATTGCAGGCCCAGCAACGTCAGACATCCCTGACTGCATGCTAACAAGATGACTAGTTCCACTAGGAGAATTCTGTGTCAGAGATGCACACCGTATGACTGCTGTTGTCAAACTCTGAAGCCCATCAAGGTGCCAAGCGAGTTAAGTCCCAGGCAAGTTGCAGCAACAACCAATCAAATGGGCCAATCAGTTGAGTGGATGTACGCCTTCAGAATTGTTGGCATCATAAGCTTTGGAAAGGGTAAAGGGTCTAGAACAGCACTTGCTTTCTTCCACAGGCACAAACACACATACACATACACCTCCTTTAAGGAAGTCTATTGTAGACTTGTGGATGGAGTTGTGGAAAACTGTTTTTGCTAATAAAGCGACGGTGGCATTATGTAACCTGATTTCAAAGTACAGTGAGGGGAGTAATGAGGCCACAAGGACACACAGGAATGTGCATGGTCGAGTTGTGCACCGCAGAGGCACAAACCTTTGGGGAACAGAGCAACTCAACAGCCAGCCAAGCCCTCTGCTCTGCACTGCCCTCCCCCAAACCGCCCAGCACATCTTCCACACCAGCTTTGCGCAGCAAATGGCAACAAAATTCCAACATCACCATGCTGCAAATGCCTCCTTGCTCATGCTCTTCCGTTGGGAGCAGCGCACCCGCCTCACCACCTGGCTGACACCATTGAGGCCAACGTGCATGACACAAGAGGAGGGTATCCAGCAGGCGAGCACGCTGAGTTGGGTCACTGCATGCAGAGAGAAGCTCTGAGGCATGGACTGCGATCGCTTCGATGGCATCATGATCACATGGCACCAATGAGGGTGTCTTGCACATGATTTGCAGCTGGTGCTTCAACAATCCTGCAAAATGGCATGGGCATAAGGTCTGTCAGCAGGTGTGGCTGGCCAATGGCTGATTCAGCACAAACCTCTCCTGAGCTGCATGTGCCAGCAAAGACATTGTGAACCAACACTTCTCTGCTCCTGGAAAACCAAAGGCAAAAATCTTGCCCTGGGCCATGGCCTTGGAAACTTCAACAAACATTGTCTCGACAGGACACTGCTGCATATTCTGTATGGCGAAGCTCCCATTGCACTGGTTTGAGAACCTTTCCAACAAGGACGGGCAGCTCCACACAAAGCCAAATGGTCTGGACATTCATCAAAAGCAGCACAACAAGCGGGAAACAACAAGATAATCTACAGAAAAGGATCGTTCTGCACTTCACCACACGTTCTTTATCATCTTAACCAGCTGTTTGCGACAAAGCAACCGCCATGTTATGAAATGCATTCAAAAATACTCAGCCGCTTCTACCTGTTAGTTTCTCCACAGCTCTGTAGATCTGCACAGGAATTTTGCCATGCAGCATGCGAAGAGGAGTACCAGAAGCCCAGAGCTTTGATGCAGCCGCAGATAGGTCGCTCATCTGATTAATGACTTCCTTGCTTGCCTGTCCAAATTGATCTGAATGCTGCCAGGCTAAGTGAGCAACACAGCACACAAGCTGCCACCACAGCTCCAGAGCTTCGTCGCCATCCGGCAAAAGGCCAGAAAACAGTGTGTCATCCAAGATGCCAATGATTGTTGTGCATACACCCAGATCTGGCACATTTTCGGCCCCCCTCTGCGTTAGGCATGCTTCAAGCATATCTAAGAACAATGTCATCATGCGAGCAGATGTCTGTGGGGTCAGCAGAGACTTGTGTGACCCAAGAAGAAGCCGGGCAAGCTCAACACACTCCTGGGAGCTTGCGAGTGCGGATTCCTGACAGCAGCTGAGGGCAAGTGCATCCAGCTCTGGACATTGCCAAACTTCCAGAGGCCCTCTGAAATCTAGGAAGAGACACAATGACAACTCAACAGGCAATCGCAGAGCGTGGAGATGGGCATACACACAGAAACACACATGAAGTCCCAGCCTGAGCAACTCAAGGTGTGCAGCCCACAGATGGGCCACACGCTTTCTACACTCAGCTGCATCATATCAGCACCAATCAACCACGGCGCCACACTGGATATCGCCTCGTGATCTGGCTGTCTCAAAAATCACCCTGAAATGGGCTTTCCAGGATAGCTGACCATTCACAGAAGGTCCTGGAGTAATGCTTGCAGAAAGGAGAAGAGCCCTAGCGCTGACAACGTGTGAATAGTGTTCGCCACCCTTGGACCTGGCTGAGTGCTTGCCAGGTTGAAAGTTGAGCTTCCTGCTGTTACTCCAAATTCCATGTTGCCATTGGACCTCAATCAAATGGGAAAAGTGGCACAGATACTCTTTCCCGGTTGTCCCTTACTCTCAGCAACAATCAAATGTAGTACTCACCTATCTTCCCTGCGGTCAACATTTCGATGAGGATGCAAGCAAACTGTGGGAGCTGCTTCACACAACTGCCCACAAGTGGCTGTGGGGAATCTACCCCATCGTTGGCATTGCATCTAACTATTTGCTGCAGTACGTGACCCCAGCTGTTCTGTGAGGTATGGTCCCCAAGTTCCACGCAAGCCAGCACCAGCTCTCCATAAGCAGCGACAGTGTCACCAGGCAGGTTGCCTGCTGTGCAGATGTGCACAAGTTGCTGAAAAAAATTGGGTGGGCTTGAGACTTGCCAGCTGTCCATGGCATCTATCTCTGATGGCACAACAATGCCAGGACCATACACCTACATCAACAAGTTCAAGAGTTTGAAGGCTGATTGGTAGTTGGGGCAGGAACCATTAGCTGGTGGACCAACACCAAGGACTTGTCAACATCGCCCCACTTCCTTAAGGTGCAGGAGGATGGCATGCCCAGAATCTAAAAGGAAACGAAGTGCTGAGGCTCGAGCATGCTGGAAGAACAGCAGGCAAGAAAATGCATGGCAAGTTGGACAGCACTGGAGAAGACTGATGGCCTGCCTCCATCAGTCCAGAAGCACAGATGGACTTCCTGCAGGATGACTGACAGATGTTGGTGCTTTCCTGCTTGGGGACACCCACCTTCACAAGGTCCACAAGTGCAGCAACCACCTCAGCATTTCTTGAACCTTCCACAACTGCACCTGCCAATTTGCCGCCAATGATAGCAGCAATCCTGCTTGCGATTTCTATCTTTGTGTCTGCACTACACATGGATTGGGCTGATGCCAGCTTGACCACAACTTGCGAGACTCTCCTGAATCGTTGCAAGTCCAAATGGGAGCCCGCTGCTGAATGAAGATCTGTCTCCAGGATGACAACGAGCTCATCCACTATGGAGTCCAGCAGGGCATTTTGCACTGCCAAGCTTAGGTCACAGTTTTCTTCCTGCATTTTGGCCAGCAACGTGTGACAGCAGGTGGATAACACTTGGACAGCAGCAGAGGAGAAGGAACAACTTGTGTCTACAGCCGATGGAATGAGGAATGCAGGAATTGTTGACTGGAGGAGGCAGCTCCGGAACTCGCTTGGCTGGTCACTGATTTTCTCTGCTGCCACCAGACCCCAGGTCAGGCACTCAGAAAGCAAGATGGTGCTGGCAGGCTCCAATGTGCTGCACCAAACATAGTTCCAATTAGTAACTGGCTCGGATTCAATGCATCTGCTTGTTACACCTCCAGCAACGAGATGGCTATCAAAAACTCGCATGCATCGTTCCAGAAGCCATTCTCATTCTTGACTGCCGTTGTTAACAGATATCGTCCAAAATCTTAGACCACATTTACCAGTACAGGTATTCCATTCAGGCTCAAACGGCAGTACAAACAGCTGCAATGGGGAACTGCCCACCAAATTTGCCCACCTCGCCCTAGAAGGTTGCTGCATTCCCTGCCATGCACTTTCCATGATCTTGACCAGCAGTGCAGGCTTGTTGCCCCACAAACCCTTGGGAACGCTGCTAACAAAAGGCAATACTGCAGGGTAGGACTCTTTACACGACCCATAGCCTCCATGCCGAAGGAAGGCAGACAGTCTGGGCAGTATTGCTTTGTCCATGTTCAAATGTTCCCAGCACTGTGGACATGCCTGACACACAAACGAAGCAAGCTGAAACACAATCACTGCACAGGGACTCAGGCTTCGAGAGATCGTGCGATCGGCTGTCCTCCTTGACATGCATAGTCTGCATTGCTCCTCTCTTCACTCAGCAATGACTGCAACACTGTGCATACACTTGACATAACAGCCATAAAATTGAGAGCATGCAGTACACCACATGGAACTGTGTAGCAGTATTTTAGCAGTCTTTGTGGTGCTGACATTGTGCAGCCAGAAACGCTGCGATTGGACAGCTGAGGCTCCACACCTTGATGAATCTGAGCACCATGCTCCACATGACTCCATGGCAGGACGGCTCCTTCTCACCAACGGCACCAACCACACGTGGCGACATCTCCTTTGCATAAACTGCCAGAGATTTGGGCGACTGCGCAAGTGTGCCATCAACAAGCTGATATGCACGGAGGCGCACAGAAGCGCTCTTTGCTCCTAAGTGCTTCTTGAAGAAAGGCTTCCCAGACACAAGTGAGGCAACATGCTCCAGAATTGGTGTCTCGGAAGGCTCTGCAGACAATGATGCACACAGCAGCCCTTGGCAAGCTAGTGATACGACTGCCACACTGCACAAACATCTTCCATCCTCTATTGCACTTAGAGTGTACAGCTGGACTCTTGTTAAAAGCCAGACTAAACACTTGATGCGCTTCCAAGCATTGCACTGTCTGTCGCTTTTTCTTCCACCCTTGCATGGTCTCTTTCAGTCGTATTTCAATGATTGATCAGAATCATGCACTGTGCAAACTTGTGCCTTTTGAGAGAAGGCAATATCTTGGGTGTTTGAACCAATGCAGCCGATGCAATTACACAGCCACAGTCTTGGCAAATGTGTACACAGAGTTGCCATGACACCAGCATGGAAGCGGCAAGGCCCTTTAGTGTTCAGTACGTTGGAAGACTTGATAAATGCAAAGTCCCCGCTTTTGCTCCTTGCAAAGTCAGACGGTTTACAGCTTTGAACATACCACACTAATGATTTTGATGATGTTTGGTGTCTCAAGCAAAAGTCCCACCCACCCAGATAGGCAATCACCCTTGTATACTACAGCAGTGAGTAGAACAATACATACACAACAATTTTAGGGAGAGAAGTAAACCTTCCAGACAGTCAGCAGTGTCCTGAACAGGTATTTTGTTTTTCCACACAACCAATGAATCAACATCCAAGCAAAGCAAAATCATAGTCTTATGGGTACCAAGAGGTATGTCCACGATGATTCTGCAATCACTGTCATGTCTTTGTCAATCAGTACACTGCACTACATTGGGAAACATGTGTTGGATGGCTTCGAATGATGCAGGAAACAGTGCACAACAAACTGGTGAAGCTAATGAAGCATTGCATCAGAAATGAATGAACCAAAGGAGCACCTTCACAGCAAAGGCGCCCACTGCGGAAGGTTGACAATAATTGACATGAACTGTTGATCCCAGCCAGAGACGCTGTCAGATAGGCAAGTCACAGTCGAGGACGCAGATGCACTCACACCTCCCATGCTGGCATCAACTAAAGATAGCAATGAGGACAGTGATGCACACACGACCCCTTCATAGCGAATTTCGAGATCCTCAAGGTCCCCTTTCTTCATGCTTCCACTCCTGCCGCAAACGGCCCAAATAAAACACGGGCATGCATTCATCCGCACAACTGACAGTCTCTCTGCCAAGTTCAAAACAGTTGTTAGCCTAAAGAACCAAACCAGCACAGCACAAAACAGACTGCAAGTCTTTTTACTGTCAGCATATTAGTGAGCAGCTGGTTCCATGCAGCAGCTCCATATTTATATATAATTGTGAGGAATCCCTGGTTTTTGGGTGTTGTTGCAATAGTGTTGACTCGGCAGTATACAGAGGGGTGCCCAATTGCAACAGGTGTGGCTGGGCACCATTCAGACTTTTCAGTGTAAGCCCTCGCCGAAACGATTACTCCTTCCATCAGCAGGGCAGCTTCCCAGCTAGGACAATGGCACATAATTTGGCAGCAGTAAATGATTGGCAAATAGGACGCAACAAGAAACAGTGGGACTCACTACTGGTACGACAAATGTTCACAACAGTCAAGCATGTCACTGCTGACACAATCCAAACTTCATGGCATTTGGCCACTGTAGCGGGGCCGCGCTTTGCCTGCTCAATGCCGCAATCTGAACTTTGGTTGTGTGCGATAATCTTGACACGACTTGGGTCTGATAACTGCCTGCCACAAGTGACCAGACAGCTGCTGCCTGTTTACTGACTGCAGAAAGGAACGGATGCCTGTGATGGTGCTCGTGCTCCGACAAAGGACTTTGTATGCTCAATTGATGCGGGGGTTTGGAGCATTTTTTGGCTAAGCACTGCAAGCTGCCTGCAAACTGCTAGAAAAACTGATGTCGCCAGATGATCTCCAGTCAGTAGACTTACCATGACCAGAGCGTTATTGCAAGCTGCTGAAAAGGCTGCACTCATTAAATATAACATTCTGAACCAGGTAACTCAATGTACATTTTGAGGCCCTACTGCGGATCTCCCAGCGTCCGTAGGTCTGCCATCAGGTTCTCCTCCAAATACTTCAACAATTCCTGATGGTACATCAGCACAGCTTCCTTTCTCTTTTGTTCGCTGAAAGCAGCCTGCCACACAGAACACACCCCATCCACAGAAATCATGTAAGGGGCATGCAAGGAAGATAGAAACAACGATGTGTACACATAGGCATTGTACATGCCCAGTCGCATGCCAACAGGGAGGGGGCTGGTGTGCAATGAAGCCACGCAAAGTGCAAACATCAAGATCTGGGAATGTCAGGTTAAACAAGGAAACACCGGCAAAAAAGGCAAACAAATACACATGCTAGTAGGCAAAGACCGATGTGGGATCCAGGAATACACCTTTGGCAACAACAGAGAGGGAGGAAGTGGGACTGTGGCCGTGCTTTGTTGTGCATCAATGCAACAGCTTAAGAGCAGAATCTGCAAGCACCAGAAAGAGGGCGTTCTGTGACACCAAAGCAGTGCCCAGGACAGCTTGGTATGACTGTGTTCCATTCAAAGATGCCAAAATCAACACCCCACAACCACAGCGTTTTTGGCACATGCAAAAGCGTGCTCCAGCCGCTTCCACTCAATATGTTTCCAAAAGAGTTTCCTTCTAGCACAGTCTACAGCTTGTGAATGGTCGCTGATATGCAGCATCATTGTCAGGGCACATTAGCTCACAGCAGAACAGCAACGAATTCAGTGCTTTCCCTGCTTTTTCCTTTTTCTTTTTCTTCATTATGAAGCATGACTGTTCTGTGGTAACTAGGAGCAACAATACGCCAGTCCAAAATAACACTTCTGGAATCCAGAATCTGAACGCCAACAGTACCCAACATAGCCCTAAGTTGCAAGGCAGTCATTATCTAACATGTGAAAAATGTAGGTACTACAGGCTTGTATACCATTCGTCACACTTACCTGTATTCATGAGCATTTGGGTGGGATACACCTCTATTTGTGTCCTAAGTGCTCAATGTGCGCAAAGCAAAATTCAAGCTGCTGCAAAGCCGATTTCGGGAATGTTGGTATTTTTCAAAAACAACAAGTAGAAGAAAGCTGCTCAACACCTCCACAGTGTGCAATTCCCTCCCATGGATCACAATCCACCGAATAGATTGTTCCATCTCAGTGGTAGAACCCCTGGTGTTCCAGTCCAGGGCTCAATAGGCTGCTTTACTCTGAGATTGCCTTGTTCTCGTAAAGATGTCAATGTTTGTGGACAGCAATCAGAACTCGCATTTCAGCAGCGCCAGCAAATAGGACACCATCCCAGCAGGGAGGGTGATGCCAGGCACATACTGTGCATCGGCACAAAATGCTCCATGGCAAAAGGAAAACACCAAATTTCCAAGAAATAATGGACAAGGGGGCTCACCTCAAATGTTGTCTTTGCGGCTCGAGCAACCTCTTTGTGCACATCGTGTTGTGACAGCCACCATGATCCCATCAATAACTTGAGATGGGGGGCAAGCTCTCGTTTAACACGAAGCACAAGTTGGCCAAGGGCTTCATTAGCTTGGGCCCGAACACTTGGGTTGAAATCCATGACCAGCCGCCGATAGGCATACGTCCAGTGGGGGATCGCGGCCACCACGTCCCCCTTTTCAGAACTCAGAAACAACTTGTTCAAGGCCTGGATTGCAGACAGAAACAGGATTGTCTACAGAGTTAGCTAGCTGCAGCGCAAGTTGCCGGTTGATTGCACACCATCAACACCCAAACATGCATCATCTGTTCTGAGGGTTTGTGGATTCCTTGCCGTCGACGCAATTGAGGTATTTTGTTGCTGTCCATCCGTATCATCCAATCCCCTGACTGGCCTGAAAAGTACCAACAATAACCAACTCTCCGCACAACTACTCCAGACACCAAAAGGAAGTGCCAAAGCTAGTATCCATTTCCATTTCGTTCACGTCAGGTACGCAAACGGCACCTGCAGGGCCTTCAGCTTGGTTGTTGCGTCCTTTTTGGACAAATGTTTGAGGTACTGGCCAATTTCGCCGTTGAGCTGCGCCGGCGGAGGTCCGGCGTGCGACGTGGGGGAGGGCGTCCATGTGGCAGAAGCCCCGGCGCCAGGCAGTTGTTTTGAACCAGAGTACCTGTGGACATGACGAAGCTGTCAAGGCAAGGGTCGACGGAATGGCAGCCATCGATCCACGCAATTCCAGCAGGAGCGTGGCGCTTGGAGATCGGTCACTCCTACCGGTGTTAATGTCAACAAACAGGCTCTCGAGGAATCACCAACGGTGTTGCGTGGGCAGGCAGCTCGATTCCGCGCTGATCAGCCGTCCTCGCGCGTGCACAAAATTGGCGCCCAGACAGCACTGCGCGCACAGATTTGAGAAATCTGACTCCAACTCAACAGCAACCTTTCTCTGCGCCCTCGATGCTCCTGCTGGACGCGCGGGACTGACTGACGGCGTTGCGGCACTGGTTGCTGGACCCATTCCCTGCGGTTCGGGAGCGGAGCGGGATTCGAAATTCCTCACCCTCCGAATCCCGCGGCCAGCCCGCCTGTGCCGCCCACCAACTCGGCGGCTCGGGCGCTGCTCGACGTTCGGTGGCCCTTCCGATCCGCCTTCTTCATCCTGCGCTTCCCTGCCCTTGCCCCTGGCAGCGCACCGCCAGCGCAAAGAGGGCGCAACGCAGCGGGACGCGGGTACCGCTGCTGTAGACATTGAAGCCACCTGGAACCTGCAGTGGGGCAGGGAGGGCGATTATTCAATGTTGTTGTTGCTGTAATGTTATGCCGGTGCAAACGGACTGCAGCATAGTGGCGCAGCCACACGGTTGGTAACCGTTGCCTTCACCGTCGATGGCTTCGGCGTGAACCCCATTCGGCACTTACACAAAGTGCTATTTGTGCATCCACGTTTCCTCGTGCGCTTTCCATGGATCCTGGCACACTTGTTCGAAGGCCGCCACCCAAATAGAACGTTCCACCGGCCGCCCCAGCTATCCTGGCTTGGCCCTTACCCGAATGAAATCCCGACCTTCCCATTGCTTTCTAATCCCACAACTAACACCTCTTCCTTACGGATCCCCCATTACCAACCTCTATGCCAGCGCGCTGGACCCGTCCGCCCGCCGACGTTCCTAGGGGCCCTACCCTCAACCCATCTCCCTCACTCCTTTCTCTACCGCCTCTACCGCAGCTCCCTCCAACTGCCCCACTAACTATACGCCCCCTTCTCATTCGTTCGTGATCGCGCATCGATCTTTCCTCCGTATCAACCCAAAGTGACTAGAACTGACTGAGCATTGTTAACAGCTGGACGCATAAAGAAGCGATGAGGCATTAGGAAGTGCATCGAGGGCATATTGATGAACTGGCTGGATACAATGGACAGGACTCCTTTTGTCCTTTGTTCGGATGTAGGCCGTTGCCGTGGCTGGGAAGGGTGGCCAACGCTAGCGGTGGAGCAGACATAGACTACTGTTCTGAGAACCCTCCAAGGACCTCCATTCCCTGCCTGCATTCGGTGCGTTGATATCGTATTAAAATCTCCAAGCGATGCGAACCGCCTCTTTGTGTGTGCCCATTATATACTCATGTACATACCCTGTTGCCCGACAATCTGGGCGCTTAGGGATGTGCTGCGTGTGAACGAGAATGGCGCAGGGTAGTCCAGTGTGGCGAACTTGAAGAGTTAACAATATATATGTACCCTAACAGCAGCCTGGCTTTTTGCAGCCGGTGAATCCTCGCAGGGCACATTTGTCCTCGCGTCAATCTTATGGCCACTTCCCTTGACTCCCACTGCCCTGGTTTGGCAGAAATGTCCGGCAGATGTGCCAGCCCTGACAGACGCGCATTGCATATGCAGTCAACTAATTCTTGCAGTATCGCACCGTGCTTAACACGCTGCCGACCAAGCTTCAAAAGATTCAATGGCAACGTGTTAGTTTTGATGCGAACACCCAGAGGCTGAAAGATTTGTCATCCAGTACGACCTCCGTGTGTAGCCGGAGGTTGAGCGCCACACTAGCCTGTCTTGCAAACACGTGTGACAGCCTCACGCGGACAACCATCAATCCAACACGGCTTCACCAAGGGTGCCATGTCAGATCAAGCGAGGGCAGAACTACACCAGATGGCTCACAGCAAAAGTGTAGCACAATGTCGGTAAGGTCATGCATATCTGATGCTCCACGGGAGTGTGCGGCGGGGTGGAGTGGGTGGGTGGGTGGGGTACCATATTTTAACAGCCGTTTCACTGCAATGCACTTGGAACGCTGTCGGCCCCACCCTCAACAATTTCAGATATTACCCCATTCCTGTCGAGGAGTGTCTTGGGGCAAGGGCTGCCGGACACAGCAACGCAAGGAAATGCCGTCTCTGGGTGTTCCATGAGAATCGCCCACAGGGCATCCACAGTGCTTCTGAACTACAGATGTCAGCAGCTCTCAAGCTGGTTTGCCTTTCACAAAAACCCAAAAATCATTCACTACACAGACTTTCTGGGCCTCTCACGGCGATTCTGCAGAATAAGGTGACGGCGATTGTGTCGTTCATGCCGTCCTCCCACCTGCAAGGCTTGTTTACTGTTCACGCGGTCCATTCAGAGCTTGCAACGTGCATACAACATGAATTCTCAATTCCAGGAATTTACAGCAACATTGAAGACACAGACCCTGTTGAAATTGAGCTTAAGTGCGGCGGTCGCTCTCTATAGGCCTCGACGGATACTAACCCGAATGATCACTTCTACGACTCAGATCTGAGTCTGGAGGCATCTAGATGCCTACCTTTACAAACCTATGTCGAATCGAAAATTCCAAAATGTCCACAGTCACCTAAGACAACTGTTAGCCGGCTTGGCGCTCTTCCAGCTCCCCAGTCGACCGAATGTCTGAGTCATTCTCTCAACTGACTTGCATGCTTTATGCCTTTTCCTGCCGTCTAGCGCATCTACTTTTCCCATGGGTCTGCCTAATACTCTACATATCCTCGTCATCCTCTTCATCGAACTCGCCTCCCTCGCCGGCAGAAACATCCTGGAACTGCTGATAGTATGCTACCAAGTCGTTCATGTCCGATCCCTTGCAAACATCGCCATGAACACAATCAGTCTCCCAATGCGCCAATTCGCATCGCGAAGTCCTGGGCCCAATTGCGTTTTTTGGTGATGTTGGGACCAAGGCCAGGCTTGCGAGGACATCAAAGGTCGCCAAAATATTGTGGCAGCTTCGAACTAATTCGATGCTGTTTCAATAACGCACGTCCGCAGCGACATCAGAAAACAACACCGTGTTTCTCTGTTACGCGTGCAAGGATTTACTCATGCCTCACAATCGTGGAGCTCACATTCTGTTCCCATCATGAGGGTCTCGGACACAGCAGAATTCCAACGACCCGCAGCACCGCATTGAGGACTTCATGCAGCTCAACGTCATGAGTTAGGTGACTGTGCCAGCCTCAAAGCCACGGAGGATCACCGCAAGCTCAAAAGACACATATTTCCCTGGTGTGGAAAACTAGGCAATTGAATAAGTGCGATTCTGTTTTCAAAATGGGCAAAAAACAGTTGAGCTTTTAAACAGGCAGCAATCAAGGCCACGTCCCAGATAATGAAGCCACTGACAGGGAGCGTACCCACCACCTCTGTGAATTCCATTTCATCCAACCCCTCCACCAAATTACCAATGTAAGAACGCTTTTCTGCGGAACAAAGCTGTGAACATATCCAACACACGCTTGAACATCCCTTGGATGGCAGTGGAGTTGCCGATGGACGTGGCATTCATCTGTGGCCCTTTGGATGGCACGTTGCACACCGAAGACTTCACATTGTCTGAGATCCACTCCACGAAATGGGAGCTGTCCTTGTTCTGCACGTTCTTCATCTGCTCATCCACTTCCTTGGTGGATATTCGCCCACGGAACAGGCAAGAGGCTGTGGGGCATCGCCCTTGGCACGGATCGGCTTCGCACATCATGTTCTTGCCATCCTACATCTGCTGGACCAGCTCTGGGACCGTGAGGGCATTGTATTGCTGGGAGCTCCAAGGGGCCAGTGGCTCAAAGTCCACCAGAAAGAAATGCGGGCGGGGGAAGGGGATCAGGTTGAGAGCCAGCTTGCACAGTTCAGCATTGATCTGACCAGGGAAACGTAGGCTGCATGTGACGCCGGACATGACTGGGGATATGAGGCGGTTCAGATCGACATAGTTGGGTGTGGTGAGTTTGAGTTTGCGGAAACGGATGTTGTACAGGGCAACGTTGTCCAGGATCATGCACCCATCTGCATTTTCGATGAGGTGCTGCGTGGTGAGGATAACATTGCAAGGCTCCAAAACTGAGCAGCAATCCCACCTGGGCACCACTGAGAAGGTGAGCATCGTGCGGTCAGGGTACTCTTCACCGATCTTGGAAATCAGCAGGCTGCCCATCCCGGAGCCAATGCCACCTGCAAGTGCGTGAGTCATTTGGAAGCCTGCAATGCACAGCCAAAGTCAGCACACAAAAGTTGACACGGTGGGGGTCCTGCCCAGCAGGCAGCAAATACAACTGGCCATGCACATCTCTGTAGGACATTCCCTCTGAGGCAAGCAATCAGCTCAAGGCCCATTTGATGCAGAGCTGCCAGGTGCAAGTCTAGCAGCATTTCCTAGCAGAGAGTTGTGGCACCATGCCACGCTGCACAGTGATGCTTCACCAGACATTCACGACACCACGTTGTGCAAGGCAATGGGATGTTGCCCAATAAAAAAACAGTAGTGGCAGTGGCATGCCCCCCAATAATCCTAACCCTCGTGTTCGTGAATGAAGCACTCATGGATGCAGGTGGTCATATCTACCATTGCATACTAAGCACAAAATGGGGCGCTGGCTGTCGGTCTGCCAGCAATGAGAAGCACCTGTAGGTCTCGATTGCCAGTTCCAAACGACCACAAACAGAAGATGTTTGCTATCAATATCAGAAAACACCATGTTTGCCGTGCCAACCACGATCCCACTTGACACTGGTTGATGCCATCACCGTTACTTTCATGCCATCACAATCACGGTGATTGCGCCACTTCATGTCAAAATTGCATCGCAATTGGCATCGCAAACACGGTGTTTTCTGATAGCGCACAGGCTCGCGATTCGCGCCTCAGCCTGGCGACGTTCAGCTGTGCGCTAACTGTGCGCAAACCTGCCCAGGACTGCCATACTCGCCAAGCACTGGCTCTGTCGGTGCGGCTTCCCACCGCACCGTGACGGTTACCGCGTCGCGCCCGTTCGCTCCTCCACAAGTTCAGTCCCTGCAGGACAGAACGACCGCCCTGAAGGGGTGTGCAGAAACGGGTCCACACGGGCCCAAAGCGCCCTCGGTGTAGCGCCCCTTTGCCCAGTTGTTACCCGCCCCGGCCGAAGATCTGGACGTAGGGCCGCGAGCGCACGCCGTCCACAGTTCCCGGCTCGAGGTCCAAGGGGATCGCGCGCGGGACGTAACGCCTTGCATGCCGGGGGCGGTGAGATCTGAACTTCAGAGTTCAGGCAAAGGGGAGAGCGCAGGGATCCACAAGCAGCAGCTGGGACAAGGGTGCCGCGATGATGCACACAAAACGCGCAACGTCGCACGGCAGTGGGGTTTTAGCGTGGGGGTGGGTGGGTGGGGAGGCGCTGACCACCGTTGGCTTCGTTGAAGTAGCCGTTTATCTCGTCCGGTTGCACGTCCGCGTCTCCTCTGTACATTCCCGTTGCGTCCATTCCGTGCTCGCCGCAGACGACCTGTGCCAGCGGCAGGTGGGGGAGTTCTGATGTAAGCAGCGGCTGCGGGTGAGGCACTCGCGCGTCGCCGTCGGCGCAGGTCAAACGCGAAATGGTTGGAAGCGGGATTGTCAACTCAAGGCGGGCGCCCAAGGTGAGGCGGGGTCCCGCCCGGAACTGAGTGGAGATCCGTCAGCATCGTGGCAATCTCAGGCACGCTATTCCGACCGGGAAGTCTTGTTCTGCTTGCCCCCAGCCCAAACAGTCCGGACAGAGTGAGTTGCGTTTCGGAATGAATAAAAAGCATGGGTTTAATGCGGTTTCTTGCTGTTCGTGTAACGCTGTTGTGTTCTGTTTTAAATTAAACGGAGACAATGCCCCTGAGTGCAGAGAGAACATCACACACGTTGATGTGTCAACTGTTTTAGAAAGTATTCGTTGTCGGGCGGGAAGGGGTGGCAAGAGGCACCATGGACGCTGCGGTCCCAAAACGTGTTTGAGACCACATAGAGCCATGATGTAGGTAGCAGAATGGTTGAACTGGCCCACCATTGGCGAACGAAGAAATGCCACGCTGCACAATACTACAGACTTTGTAACTCAGGTCAGGTCGGCAAAATTTCAATTCAAGATGTACTGCCCTCCACCAAGCTGGTCGTCCAACAACTCGCCGAACAGTGTACCTTCACCACCCCCTGAAAGCGGCCCCACCCCATTTTCCATCACCATAAGCAACCGAATGGTGACGGCCACTGGCCGCACCTTGGAGAAGACCTCTGCCCCTGGAACAGCAAGACGCTGAACTGAAACGAGCACCAACCGCTGCACAGCCACGCAAGGGGCTTGCTGTCAAAAAGTGGACACTAAAGAACGACAAAATGGACTTCTCAGGACTTTCCTTGATGGGCAGACCCACGTCAAGTAAGAACAGCCAAAAGCCCAAGTCCAAACACTTCTTGCCCCGAAATTTATCCATCAAGGGTTTTGAAACTACTCATTCTGCAGGCCACTGTGGCCATGCCAAACCAGAGGCTTCCATTGCACTCCGGGATGCCAATCATCCATCAGAGACGTCTGTGACTGCAAAGCAAGATCCCATTTGCAGGTGCAGCTCCAACCGGTCCTCCCAAAGAAACAATTGCCTCACATGAAATCCTCTTCATATTCGTCATAGTTCTCATATTTTTCGCCCAGCTGCTTGCTCGTCACCATATTCTCCTCCTGTCAAAGGAGTCCACAACTTTCAGCACCTTCCTATGCACTCGTGTGGTCCGCAGCCATTACATGCTGCTACCACAATTCTGGCATATAGCGTTCCAGATTTAGGGGCAAACCAGGCTAAATTAGTTCAGCGATGCATGTGCATGGTCCAATTCACAAACAGTGACGTTATTCTAAAAACACAGCAAATTGCCACAGTGGACGTGATTCTGACAACAACCAGCATCATATGCTCAGGTATGGCAACAATTCTTCACTTCAGAAAAGGAACTTATCACACAGCAAGCGCACATCAACACATACATGGCGGTCAACAATCGATAGGGGCTGCAAGGGGAAGACCGTTCTGTTTTTCACCGTGACTGATACCTGCATGAGCGTTTTGTAAGACCTCAACTCTTTCTGCCGCTTGTGCTCCTCCCTGGTTGCCTTCTCCTCCAACCTCCTCTGGTGTGCCTCTGCATTCTTCTTGCGACGCATTTCCGCTTCAAAAGCCTGCAATGCACATGATTGAGTCGACAGTCCGGGTGCCCTCCCACAGTGTCTCTAGACAGTCCTTGGGAACTGCATGATCTGGCATCCAGCATATGCTTCTGACTCCATGGGGTGGAATGCAAAGGTTTTGTCATTCTTCAATATACCTGAAAGTTGCTGGCTGCATCCCACACCCAAGTAGCAACAACATTACCCCCCATTACCTTGACAAGTGATGTGCATGGACGAAGGATTAGGGGTGCACTGCGTCAGTGTAGTTCACATGCTCACCTCCTGCTCCCCTTTGAGGTCCGGTTCGCATTCTTTCTTGGTCCTGTTCAGCCTGTTGATGATTTCGTTGATCTTCTTTGGAACAACCTCTTTCCTTACAAGTTTCTGGTCCTGGAAGCCAACCTGTACACATGCAACAGACATCAGTGCTCTTGCAGTTTGCGATGCACTGTTGCACCTTGAGATATGTGTGTACATACAAGAAACTACAAGGACTGGTGTCGTATTCAGTAATGTCTGCTGCTTCAGGGTGTCTGCAAAACACTGGCACCACAAGTCGGGCACCTGGAATAGTCACAGCACCAAACTTTAAATCAATAGTGTAAACTAAGCAGGCGATCATCCACGCAACCTGATTGGACAGACATCTTGGTTGGAGTGCTGAGACCAAAGCACAATAGCCATGTGCAGCACTCTGACAAGAAGGGCTTCAGACAATGCATCTATTACCCCACCTCTCCTGCAACCATATTGGCTGACTTCCTGAGGTTGGACCATGGTGTGTAGATGACTGTCACACTGGCTTGCTTGCTGCCTGCAGGAGGAAAGGGCCACAGTAAGCTCCTGCAACTTGTACCCTACATATTCAGGGCTGGAGCAAGCACAACCCCACAACCAAACACAACCAAAGAAAGCGCCCACTGACAGGCAGTGCCAATTGCAGATTGTTGGCTGTGTCTATGCAATGGCAGCACACTTTTAAGCAGCTGGTTCTGATATGCACTACTCTCACAGCTACAATTGGGCTGCATGTGCACCTGGCTGCCCACAATGTTGTATGCTGGCATTCTGTTGCCTGTGTCACAAGTAGGGCATACATAGTGGCATACAAGTGCGGCCATTTACAAGGCATGGATGAAGATGACCAGAGACTAACGACATACAGGCCTCCCTCTGCACGTCATGGACGATGTGCAAGTTTGCAAGGTTCAACGCAGTTCTGCCATTTGCTGTACCCCACTGTACTGCACTGGTGCCATTTTCCCCCTGCAATTCCAGCCCAAAGGGCACTCCAAGCAGGTCTACATCTTGCAGCCATGTCAACCATGGCACAAGGAATAACACCCAAAAGTGTAATGGCAAGGTGGGCCTGCATACCCAGCAGCCACATGCATTACCCTGCAGCATTTCCACAAAGCGTTGAATCCAGGGAATGGACAGGGGATTGCAGTTCAGCATCCCCTTGCTTCCAAAATTGATGGCAACTTTACACCTGCTGGATTCTGGCAGCATGACAGCAACTTGTAGTGGCCAACTTGCGGCTACTTGCAATATTGACTCAGGTGCCTCCTACCAAAGATGATTGTGCCTGCCTCCATTTGACAGACATAAATCCCTTGGCAAGAGGATGCACCGTTTTTCTTGTGTCAAACTATGTTCGTCCCCCCCCTACTGCTTACTTGCGCTCCCCAGTTCGTGCCTTGTATGGAGTTGGCCTTCACAAGCTGCACACAGTCCTCAAGAGTTTCGCTGGGGATGTCCGTCCAGGGGTGACCTTGTGGAAGGCGCAAGTAGACATGGGCGGAAGAAAGACTCTCAACATGAAACCTGCTCGATACAAAGAGGCATGCGTGTCAGATGACCACAATTTCCGGCCTCGATTTTTTTGTGCCAGGCGTACTTTGCGGTCAGGAATGGTTCCGCAATCCATCTGAATTGCACAACCCTGGGTTTGTGCACCTGAGTGATGGGGGTGAAGGAGGGCTGCTACACATGCAAGTAATGTCCACTGTTCAGGTGTCGTCACTGCTCAGAGCCCTACCAAAGGGAGACATTTAGGAATTTCTGAGAAGCAGCGGTCTTGGAGGGCATCTCAGCATGCCACAGGCTTCGCCCAGCCTACAGAGCGCCAAATATCCAGACAGTGCTGAAGAAACTACACAGACAACAGCTCTAACTGTGAGCTGGGAAATGTCGCCTCGAAACATGATGTGTAGCCTTCTGAACGATACAAGCGACAAAACATATCCGCAGGCTCTATCTGCGCTGAGTGCAACTGTGTACGCTTACAGAAGCAACTGTTATGCGGTCTGAAGTGCTCCTGAGAATGCACAAAGAAACAATGACAGGCAGCCGTCCAAACCCATTCCCATTCTCAGCCATCGTCCCAGACTTCTCCTATTTTGCACACAGCTGCAACGCGGAAAAGGGACGCTTCCGGTCCACTGCTAACGTCTGATTTGAAAGTGTGGTGTGGGTCGACGCATGGCGATGCCACCCATGGAGCTACACGACAGCCGGGACTCGTCCTCAGTGGTTGATGGTCCACATCTGGTCCATGGAAAAGAGAGTGCCCCGAGGCCATGTGCGCAAGCAGAAACCGGCACGAAACTGCTGCTCACCATACGTCGTGCGGCAGTCCGTATTTTATCAGCTCCTCGTTCTCATACTTGTCCCTGCCCATGTATATCAGCCAATCCTCCGAGCCCTCCATGAAGCCCCGCGGCTGGAAATAGAACACCATTTGCGTGCACCGGCAGAGCAGGAGGGGGAACGCAGGCCGCCGGCGAGGGCGAAAGCGCAAGGGCGTCCAGGACTCTGCTTGCCGGAACGCGCTTCCGATATTTGGGCTGGTGGAGGATTACGATTGGTGTTGATTGAATGACGGACGTCAGTCCCTCTACAACGCCGCAGGATGACCGAGTGTTGGCTTCAGCCAATTGCCAATGGGTGCAGATGTTGTTCAAATTGATGTTCAATCTACTCCACGCTCAATGGAAGGAAAACCCAGTCCAAATTAAGGCTCCACCTTGTCTAAAATTGAAGTTTGCACTCCACTGAATCTGGGCTAGGTTGAAACATAATTTGGACTAGGTTGAACTTTAATTTGAACTAGTTCGAACCTATTTCCCTATTGATAGTGTCGCCGTTAGTGCTGTTGTTGCTTCGCTCAAAGAGGGGCACATCACTGACACGTGGCAATTGGCTGGATGATATGGACACAACACCATGAACCAGTCAGAATTTGGCGAGGACAGCCGCAAATTGGTGCTTTCAAACTACAGAACATGTTCCCAAGCAGCGAGCAGGGACCAAACGATGTGCAGGATCCCATAGCAGATCAGCTGATGCATGAGTGGTTGCATAGAATTTTTGTTCTCATTACGAAAGTCAGAATCCCTGCCGTGAAGCTCAAAGACTGTTTGGGAAATCGCGCGACTATGACATTATGAGCAGTTGAAGTGCTTTTCTTATACACGACAGTTCTGGAAGACAAAATTATTGCAGACATCCTGGCCGAAATTCCATGAATTTAGTCAAGTTAGACCTTGGACTGGGATGGGTGATTGAACGTATGATTCGCATCGATTAGATGAAGCAGCACGAATTGGTACGGCCTCAGGAATAAAAGCTCGTGCATGTGCAATCACTGAGCGTAAACAACAGCCTGTTTGAGAGCCGGTCCTCTGCCAGCGGAAGTTCAGGGTCTTGATATCTCAGGGCTCACATGTGCGTCAATTTGGACTGAACTGTGCGCTCGAATCTTTACAGGATGTTGTGTCTGGGCTCACTGAGCCAAGACACTGCTGTATGCATATAGACTCTGTGATGACAGTACCACGAAATGCTACCGCGAATTTGTGGCCTGTTGTGGGCGGCAGCCAATTTTTATGCATCACTCTATTATTTCTGGACAATGCGGGGGACTGGTGGTTCACAGTGTTCACCTCTTTAGGACAGGGACAATTGAATATTTCAGGATGTATTTTGGGGGCACAATTTGACTCACCCTGATAGATACCCATGCCCGAAATGAGTTTGTATAGATAGCTTGGGAAAGAGACAAAGCACGACCGCCTACAGGGCAGGAGCCAAGAACTGATGCATGAAATGCACGTTTACGATTTGGAAATAGAACTGGCAGCCTCAATACGTTGTTGGCAGTTCAGGCCCCCTAGCCATTGCTGCAAGGCATTACCCAAGGATCTTGCGGGGGCGCAACAATTCGTCGCAAAATTTTATAGGAATTCAGAAGCGAAAACAGTTGAAATTTGCACAAAAAGAATACCATAATAGGGCAGAGGATCAGCAGAAAAGACAGAATGTATACAATATGCATTACACTCAGGATCTGGCCAGCAGACGGGATCAGATGCCAATGATACACATCAGCCACGCACTGGGAATTTAGAATGTAAGCAATGAGCAGTGGAATTTTCCTATTGAGAACTTTTCAAGCGTGTTTGTTTCAAGGATCAACTAACCGCCTCCACAGCTTGATGCTGTCGCCTGGGCGACCCGGAAAGCAAAATTGCTGGCGGCTTTGGTCACACAGGAAGAGGAAATGTCATCAACGCACGACCAGAATATCTGCCATGATCAATGCTGATGATTTGGGATGACGGGCCGTCACTGATGGTCGATCTCCTAGGCCATGAGGTGGCTCAGCATGTCGCCACTTTGGGAGGAGTGCATTTCTGCATCAAGGTCAGGGAGCCCGATCAGGCAGTGACGACTGACCTAGTATTTGGCCAATCAGAAATTCCCCATGCCTCTTGGTCAGGTAGAGGCAGAGCGATAGGGATACTATAGTATAAGAGCGGGAAAAAATGCTCTAGGGATAAAAAGGGCCAACGCATGTTGCGGCAGTGAGCACACGGGAGAAAGAGACGTCGACATGGACTTAACGCCCAGTCTGGAAAAAGAAGTCCATGGCCACAGATTTCTGTGGTGGTTTTGCAGTCATTTGAGCTCAAGAGAACTGTGGATGAGACTTCTCTAATTCAGGTTCAAATACTGAAAGTCTTTCCTGGATCTAATACCAAACTCCAACGCAGCTTTAAGGATCACCTGGTCTAGGTCATAAACTCGGTGACAAACGACAAAGGCGTATCCCTGTTTGTGGACAAGGGGCCTCATTATCTTATGACAATTCAAAAACTGTACCACCCATTGATTGGTTGGGGCATACCACTGGAAGTTAATGAACATGGAGACAATGGTCTCAAGCAAAGATGCACCAATGTTGTTGTTATGCTTTGGAAAAATGCACAGTGGTGTCGCGTTAACAGCGATTTCCATGATGGACGGTGTTCACATCCCTTGAGGCAAGGACTGTTTGAACAACGTAATACAGTGGATTTGATTGGAGTATGAGCTCTTTAGGGAACGCACTATGTCAATTTGTTGGCACTTACATATTCTATTAGCATCACAGGTCTCCCCAACACTGTTTTTCACCAACGCAGAGTACCGAAATCGACATGTTGTCTTCCCTTCGTTCAGAAAAAGGAAATGAATTGGAGGTTACTCTAAAGACATCAATTTCAGATTATTGCTGGGCGCCAGACAATCCATCGACTTCTTCCTGGTATGCGGAAAACTAGTGGATTCAAGAGTACATTCAGTATGTTCAACAGTACTGTTTAACCTCCAGGAAAAATTGCGTATGGCGTAGATTGAGCAAGGCTGGGATGCTCAGTACGCACAACATTTTTCACATATGTTCGAAAAAGAAAAGCATCGGAAAACTATCACTGCACTCCCCAGGAAATTGTTTCCAAAATTGTGAAATGGGGCCACTGTGGCCTCACTTCAGGGTACATGTTGATCAACATGCTGACTCGTGAGTCAGCATGTTCTGCATGACTGAAAATGGCTGATATCCCCTAAGGGAGCAAAAGGCAAAACTTTCTGCTCCAATTTTCGACACTGGTGAGACGCCCAAGAAAGATCAAAGCGGCAGACCATTGTGTGGCGCGCAAGCTGGTGAAAAGCAAGCGTAATGTGAGTCATTACGTCAAGCAGGTCAGCAGGCAGGCGTATGTGTTTTGCCTGTGTTTCGGTGCATGTCGAGAGCCGCACATCTGTTTGATGCAGAAACAGAACCTCAGATCCGCAGCAGCTTAGAGTCCCACCGAAGGGGAGCGGTGCTGGCTATCAAATGATAGTGGGCCGGCTGAAGTAGAAGTCTTGGTTGGAAGTGATGCAGCAATATGTGCAAGAGGCCGATAAAACTGTGAAGGAAACTTTGCAGGAAACATTGGCGGAATGTGGAGAGGTGTCTTCTCTCAGATGGCAGCACGGCCAATCACCCAAGACATTTCTTGATCATGAATCGAAACGGCGCATGGGTAGATGCCAATCTGAAAGGAACTGGACCAAATATGCCATGGTGACTGCACCCGTGTTGCAATTCCCAGATTTTGGTAGGGAATTCACTGATGCTCAAGAAATTTCGGTGGGCCATTTCGCAACAGGACTTTGGATCAGGACTGCGGCCAGTTTGTTACGACAGCAAAGACCTAAACCCGCCTAATACCACATACAACGCCCATGACAGGGAGCTCCCATGTAGGTGCGACGCCCGCGTTGCCCAGCACCGTTGCATGTGCAAGTTCCTAGGGCGAGAAGAGCCCTACCAGATGGGACCTGCTGCACGTTCAGCAAGGCACCGTGTGCCGAACGGGTTGGCAAAACCCCGTCGCAAGCTCCCTTGCAAGGCACGGGACAGATACTCTTCTCGAATCCCTGCGCCGTGCAGGGCAGCAGCCTGATCAGCACACAAGCGCAAGTTTCGGAATCGATGTGGGGGCGCCACAATCCAGCCACAATGAAGGCAGGGAACCTGGGCGAAGCCGCACGCTGAGGTGGCTTCCCGCCCACCGCGGAGCGACGCCCCCCTTCCACCGCCTGCGTCGCACCTTCGGCCTCTCCAAATCAGTAGTCCTGATCCGACCACGCTGCCCTTCAAATTCCTCCAAATTTGTCCCCCGCCGCCTTGACGTGATCCCGGATCAGGCCGGCGGCCAATCAACCCCACTCACAGCCCAATGTTCCCACGTGGCCGCTGCCACCACCGCCCCCCCATCGTCGGGCAAGAGCGCCCAAGGCCCGCCTAAGCCACCGCCACAGTCCCCTCGCCAAGCTCCCCACAAACACGCGCTCAGGCTGTTTTGCTCTGTTTGTCCTGACCCGCGCACCGGGAGCGTTGTGCTTGTGGGGCCGGGCCGCATCGTTGTGCGCCCGGAAGTGGGCGCCGATGGTGGAGACGGCGGAACATGCCTTCTCCCTCGCGGACTACGCGTCCGGCCAGTTCAAGGCCCTGCTGGATGGCGGCGACTACACCGACGTCACGCTGCTGGTGTCCGTGGCGGGCGAGGACGGCAAGTTCGTGATCGACCCGGTGAAGAGCCACAAGCTGGTGCTGGGCGCCTGGAGCCCAGCGCTCAAGCGGCAGATGGAGCGCGCGGCCAAGGAGGGGCACCCCAACTGGGTGCGGCTGACGGGGCATGACCCGGTGGCGCTGAAGGCCATGGTGGAGACGTTCTACACGGGGAAGCTCACACTCACAGTGGCGAACGTGTGGTCCACGAGGAAGGGTGAGCGGGGATTTTTTTGGTTGGGGGGAGGGGGCATGCCGGGATAGCGGGGACGGGCGCCGGGCCGCGGGGGGGATCGGGTGGGGCTACCAGCGAGGCGGAGGTGCAGGTCGAGCTGAAGGGAGGCAGCGTGGTGGAGGCCTGCAATCTGACGGGGAGATGGTTTGGGGCCGTTTTGGGGCTGAGTCCAGCTGGAGGGCGAGGGGGCGAGGGGGGAGGGGCCGGGGCGAGGCGTGGGCTGGGCCTCTGGTGCCTGGAGTGTCTTGTTGGGGATGCCCGTCCCGCCTGCGTTGTGTGCCAGACGGCGCGACCAGCTTGCTAGTGATCGTGGGAAGCGTCCGTGCGGCGGTCGGTTGTCTTTATAGTCGTTCTTGTCAGGGGGCTTTCAGCTGCGTCTCGTCCTCGGGACCCAAATCCCTGCTTCGAAGCCGCAGCTTTTTCTGTTGTCTGGATGCTTTGGGGGTTTTGGCATCATCCCCGTACCAGCGTTGTTTTCACCACTTTCCGCCCTGATCGCCGTGCCTTTCGGCAGTTTGTGTTGCCGCTGCGCTACATGCACTGCTGCTTCTGTCTATGTCCCCAAGCGAGAGCCTTGCCATTTTTCCAGTTTCAGAATCCCTGTTTGCAAGTAAGGTCCGCTGCCGCCCGCTCGTCAACGTGCTGCTCTGCAAGGATGGAGTTGCCCCAAAGAATTGCTGCAGTGCTGTTCATTTCCATCCATGCTGGGACCACCCACCCTGGGATTCAATCACTTCCTCGTCCATGGGTGTCCAAAGGCGCCAATCCATTGGAGAATGAGTTTTTGATATTCCTGCCTCTGGGGCGCCAGGATTGGGGTTCATGCTCACCAGAGAAGTTTGGTCGTTGTGTTGTGTCCAGTTGCCACGGAGCTCGAGGTCCAGCCTGTGGTCAAGCAGTGCGATGAGTACTTGCATGCGAACATCTCTGCTGACACGTGCCTTGAGTGGGTGATGCTGGCCAAGGAGAACGGGGCTGACGACTTTGCAGATGAGTGCCTGGGGGTCATGGGGCGGTCCTTCAGCACTATCAAGGACCAGGATGCATTCCTGGCTCTGGACTCCCGGTTGCTGCTCCAACTACTGGAATCGCACCAGCTGCAGGCAGTCTCGGAATACTCTGTCCTGATGGCGGCGCTTAGGTGGGTGCAGGCAGACCCTGACAACAGGCAAGAGCTGTTTCCCGACATCGCCAAGAGGATCAGGTTCCACCTGATGTCAGAAGAGGACAGGAGGGAGTTGCTGAACGGCGACCACAGCTACAAGAACCTGTCGGATGAGACTCGTGAGAAGTTCAGGAAGGTGGTGCAGAAGAGCCTGCCCAGTGGAAAGAACAGTGTGCAGCCCATCGACATACCCAGGGGTGGGGTGATGAAGAAAGGTGTTATAGTTGACATGCCGATCGACGCGATCCGCGAGGCTGGGTGGAAATTGGTGTATGGTCAGCCGTACAAGAACCACACGAGCGTGCATGACTTGGAGAGCTTGAAAGGGGACTTCCTCATGGTGGCGGCAAGCCGCAAGGGAGAGCGCAAGATTAAGCTGTGCGCGATGGGCAGGAGAGACAAGATCCTGACCCGGACAGGGGTGAACGAGGTCACCTTTGAGAATGGCACGTTTTGGTACTTCTGCCCTGACAGAGCGTTTGGCTTCGCCCCCACAGCAAACATCGACCTCAATGTTGCAGACACCGTGGACGAGGAGGGGGATAAGAGGTTGAGCTGGCACCTGCACGAGAAGAGAGACTCGTCAGGCGATGCAGGGGGTTTCAGGGCGGGCATGCTGAAGAATATCAACGATGAAACGCAGTGGGTGAAGCTTGTGTTCTCATTGGACAGGCATTGAACGGATTTTTGTGATTGGGCTCAGCACATGCCGTCTGCGACGGTGGTTCCAGAAGGAACAGCAATGGTGAATGACGCAGGTGCAAAGACAGCTGTCTGTGGCAGGGGATAAGGGTGGGAGTGGATTAGAGGAAGGGCGGGAACGTGGATACCAGGGATTTTGTGGTGGATGCTAAGCATTCTGTGTTGGGTGCTGTCCAGTGAATAACTGAAGATACGTCTCAGCGCACGTTTAGAAGGGATAACCTTTAGTTCCTTGTTGACTGGTTTTCAATTGAATCACCACTCCATTGGCCGTTTTGCTTTTGCTTTTGCTTCGCTCCGAGTATATTTAATGTTTCATGGTGATGGCATCTCAGTCTGTGGTGAAGATGCCTGTTGAACTATTGCAGTGCAGGATGAGACAGGTGGAATGATTCACAGCCCCAATATTCCAAGCGTCTGGCGGTGGTGCAGCGCATCCTGTACACACAGAACCCCCCGGTACGCCCAAAGAACCAACAGTTGTGGCAATTTCGGAAGACACATCAGGGGGGGCCCTTCACCACACCGCACCATGTGTCTGCACTGCCAGCGCAGGGCCTGTCCAGACCTGGGGAGGATCATATGCCGCCTCCTTGAATCCAGAAAATTCATGCCTGGGAAAGCCTGTGGAAGTGGCTCTCGTTCGCGGCGTCTGACGCCCGTGACTGTTCGCTGGCGTCCATGCCGCTGTATTTCAGGACTCCACGGTGTTTCCGTCATGGCAGACGCACGCGCCACGGGGGCGCATGCTCTTTCGATCTCAATAATTCCCCATGCTTGCGTCATCATCAATCCCCACGCTCCTTTCTGCTTGCCTTTTCCGGCAAAACGGCATTGGTTTGAACTGCCCCACTGCTTTCGACCGTGCTGGCTTCCAGTTTCTGACGTGTGGAACCCTCTACCTGTGAAGTATGGGGGTCCAAGTCTCAGTCCCCGGGGTCCCTGCTTGGTCCCCTTGGACCTTGCCAGATGTCGAACCAGAGCCGTGGCGCTTACGCTGCATGGTCTATGTCCACACTTTAATGTCTCCTCCAGTTGATGATGTCACGAGAGAGGTCCCCTCTGGGTGCATAGCAATAGAGCAGATGACGCCATCGTGAGCTGTGAAGCGGCGAATCACCTTGGCGTCCACAAGATCCCAATACAGCACTTGCCCTGGGAACAACGTCAGCAGTGATGAGTTCCATGCCTTTCACTGAAGGCCGTAGTATCAGCAGCACAACTGGCAATACTACTCCACAGTCAATGAACACAGCACGAGGACATCGGTGCATTGGCCCAGGAGTCCTGGGTGCACATGTGGACCGAAACCTGCCCAGTACACTCCAACAGACACAGATACTTCAAGTCATCAACATCAACGCCAGGCCCTCACCTCACCATTCCCTGTTTCGGGTGGTACTAGAGACTGCTCGTTCCTCAAGGCATTCACAATCCCATTCCCCGTTTTTTCAGGTAATCTTCATGGACAGCTCAGTAACATGAAGATAAAACGCGCATACAGCAGCTAAACAAAAGAATTCTGGAACAAACAAAGTGCATAAGGAAACAGAAGTCATTTAGTGCGGCGGGTGTGAAAATCGGACCGCCGTCCAAACTCGCCCTCCGAGAGGTTGCACGACGCCCTCACAAGAGCTCACCATCTTCGGATGCCCCAACGATGGCTGCATCGGACGGTGTAAAGCAGCACTCCACTTTGTACGCCCTGTGCTTGTGTCCCCGATACGTTTCCAGCAGCTGGCCTGACGACTTGTCGATCAGCAGAATTCTGTCTGCCATGCAGCTGGCCAGAATGCACTGCTCGTCGCCTGACACCGCGATGCCAGTGACTGGGTTGTGGAGGTCGTCCGTGTACATTCGGCCCGCTCGAATGTCGAATCTTCGAACTGTCCCATCGACACTCCCGGCGATGATATCTGGCGCTGATGTGACTTGCAAGCAAGTTACACTGTCCTGCAGATTCCGCAGACAAGTAAGACCGCCAATTGAGTCCTGGCTAGCCACGTCCATATGATTCCCTCCTAAAAAATCTTGTGCACTAGTAGATCCAGACATGTAGCACTTCGCTCCCCGTGCTTTGTCAGAAAACGAGTGCGTGCAACTTTGCATGGATGCCTTGGAAGAACATTGCGATCAGGCTGCCGATCCTGCTTGGCATGAGCCTCTCATTGTCCCTCTGCCCTTTCATGTGTGGCCAATTGTTGAGTTGGAGATTGACAAGAGAACCCACTTCTGGGGTGCAAAAAGCATGGCGCATGCTCACACTCCCTTTCCAATGTCGTCACCCTCCCTAGCCTGCCCTGTGGCGCTGATGCACTTTATGCGACGCCCGTTCCATTGTGCCTGAACACAACACGATCCCACCCCACCTTGAATGCTTTCATGGTTTGCAGTGCATCGTAGGTGCGGGCGCGGCAGTCCCAAACTTTGACGCACTGGTCGTAACCAGCAGTCACAAGCGTTGCATCATCTGGCCCAAACTCAACCTGTCAGCAAAGATCCATCATGAGTTGCAGCATTGCTGACGTTCTGGGTGTGTCTGTAGGTGACAAGCTTGCGGTTTTTCGCCAAATAACCAAGGATGGTCTTTGGCAGCAGGTGCCTTTAATGCGTCTGGAGCCAGATCGTGTACCGTTCAATTCCATGCACCGTATGCCCACCTTCCACAAACACAACATTCAACAGCTAAACATAATCCGAGATGCTGCAAGTGCTGCTGTCAGTCATCGGTGACTTCTTCAATACTGGCATTTTGTGATGCAGAGCAATAAAATGATCGTTGTGAAGGGTGTGGCCCAACTGTGTGACATGTTAAAGGAATCAATGCAACACAGCCCTGCCCCATTCCCATAGGAAATGAAGTTCCAAGCGCTTGGATGTGGCATGGTCTCTTGAAGCTCACACTGTTGGTCATGTCATCAAGACACACTGCCTTGCACCCAATTCAAGAGGATTGGAAGCTGTTCCATGTGCAATCAAATGTTGCGTCAAACAGGATTCCATCAATCATCCAGCCCTTGGACATCGCCGCAAGCAAGTACCCTGCAGCACCAAAGGACAGGCAGGCCAGTCTTTTCTTACAGCGTTTGCCATCTTTTCATGGCCCCTGAACCGTCTGATGATCCTTCCAGACCCAACATCCCACAGGAAAATCTCCCTGTCTCCCCCGACTGTGGCGAACTGGCTGTTGTCCCGCAGCACTGCAGTATCTCGGACCTCGTATCCATGCCCTGTGTATGTCTTTATGAGGAGTTGTCGGTGTGGGTTCCAGAGTCGAACAGTCTGATCCTGATAACAAAGTGTGCTCATGTGAGTATATGCTAGCAGTGGCCTGGACTGAAATGCAGTGTGACAAAACATGGACGGGGTAATTGTGAGGCAACAGAACATTGTCAGGGGGACTACATGTGTCATCGTGCTGCTGTGCTCTGAGCATTCTTGTCATATCGCAGGTGTACCTTGGTTGCTTGTGATCGCAGGTGCACCTGGGTTGTTTCTTTTCCGTATGGAGACCTGTGTGCTTTGTTTGCTCTGATGACCTTGGAACTGGGGTGGTCTTTAGACAAGCATTGGGAGGCCCTTGTGGACTACTGGCAAGTGCACCCTGTCTGATCATCTGTGTTCAGCACAGACACACGCCCTGACAAGTGCATCAACTTTGTTGCATCCAAGGGTACACTCACTCTGACGACCGTGGCGAGAGGCCCCGGCCTTACAAGGCTCATCAAGCAATACGCCAGAGTTGTTTGTGGGCTTTCCCCAAGGAATGATGGTAGCTGCCGTGTTGTTGGGGAAATATACTTTACAACCACCAAAGACACTTCAGTTTACCATGTTGTTCAACAGGTGCCAACCACTGGAGCACGAGTTCGCAATCCCGCTCTGGGGCGGGCGGTGAACACCGCCCGGCAAATGTGCAGCCCTGAAGCACGGAGAGTAACGCTTGCCATAGCTGTGAGGAACTTGTGTGTAGTTTCTGATAACTTTGCGAACACGAGGTGCGTGTTTGCGAAACACGCGGTCTGGCGTGATACAAGCCGCTGTCGCAATAGCAGGTAAGAATCCGCCGGCGGTCACGCGGCGGCGCGGTTCTGGTGAATGGCCCGGCAGTTGCCACAGTTATATTTTTCGTTTCGCCCACCACTTCCGCCCCCGTCTTGTGCAAGCCCCTGCCACGCCTTTCTCCGCGACGACACGCACCACGCGTCGCACAGCAAAGCGCCCTGAGGCATTGGACAGGGTAGCCACCACCCTGCGTCCTTGAATTGCGTGATTCCGCGGCAGCAACAAGCCCTGCCAGTGACGGAGCGTGCCAAGAATCCACCCATGAACGCACAATGCCCAACGTCTACCCAGGCGTCCACCCCCCGAAGAAATCTCAGCACGGTCTGCTGTCCGTAAACCACCCGATCACAGCAAATTGAAACAGGGAAGCTGCCAGCTCCCCGCAAACTCCCCCAAGAGATGCACCTCCGCTTGGCTTACTTTCCCGCAGGACAAAATGTACGTGCCTTGGCGATTGAAGCGCACGGCCAGCACGGCGCCCTCGTGGCCCGTCAGCTGGCCTGACTCCCGACACGGCAGACGCTCGGGAGCGTCCTCCTCAGACGGGAGGTGCGGACCGTACGCCGCCATCGGGGCACGCCGACCGCAGCCAGCGGGGGACAATGCGTTGCTCCAGCAGCCACCAAGGCTGCATCCGTCCCAAAGGGGTGCATCCTATTTTGTGTGAAACTGTGCTCTGCTTCTTAAGACCATCTTTATCTGTCGGTGCTATTGCACCGGCGGGGCTATCCAGGAACGGTTCTCATTGGCTGCCGTGCCACCTTACTAAGGCGGCATTTGCCGAATAGCACCGGTGCTATTGCTCCCCTGGGCGCATCCGCAGTGGTGGGTGCTATTCCTACGCCGAATAGCATCACGTCAGCACCACAACGTTCTGCGCGAATAGCACCGGGTGCTACTCCGGGGCGCTGTTTTTGGCCTCGGGCGGTGCCATTCGGGCCCAGAATAGCACCGTTCGGCGCCGAATAGCATCGGCGGTGCTACTGGGGTGCTACTGCTCCCCAACCGTTAATGATGGTTTTTCGACGTGCGGTGCTATTCGAATAGCCGGATAGCACCGCCGGGACAATAGCACCCACCGATAAAGATGCTCTCAGGTAACGCGGCTTGGGTTCAGCGGAAACTGTACGCTTGGCGGTTGGGGAGTGAGCAACAGGATACCGGCGAGCCGTGGATGGCAGGCTCTCCTTGGCCGCCCGTTTTTACCCCGAGAGAAGGACAGAGGAGCGGTTCGAAGAATATGCAGTTTCTGTGCAGTGGTCAACCCAGCCCAAATCCATCTCTCAATGAAACGGGGCGCGGCTGCACGCGAAGCACATTTCAGAGCTAATGCACACCGCCGCTGTCCCAGCCGTGCACTTTGAGGACCCCGTGAACCCTTTTCCGGGGGCGCGATGACTGTCGGCGCGATCGTCAAAAGTGCCCCCGGGGAATCCGAGCTGTCCCTGACCAAGAGCGACCCAGGGGCGGAGATCTGTCCTGGTGCCAAGTCCAGCGCCTTCGTTGCACCACCGCCTGTCCGCGACCGCCGCTGGCGCACGACCAGCAGCCCCAGCACGCGGGGGCTCGAGCCCGAGCAGCTGACGCGGGCGCAGGCCGCCGGGATCGCGCCGCCCCACGTTTTCCTTGCCGGTTCGCCGCTCCAAAGGTGGGTGGGCGCGTTGCGCCTCGATCGGCAGCGGCGGTGTTGAAAATGGGTCCTTTGGATTCCCACCGCCGCGAGCAGCCCTGTTCGACACGAACGGTCGCCCTTCGAAGAGGGCCTCGTTCCCGGAGTTGTTTCTTGAGTCGGCGGTGGATGGGGCGCCTGTGACGCGAGATTTGCACAAGATGAGCTGGGCCCTCATCGCGCCGCTGCGCCAGCGCGTTTGGGTGCGAGAAGTTTCCGTCTCGATCGAGCGCCCGCCTCTCGGCGCCGGCGGCGCCGCGCCGGACGGGCCCTCCTTTCGATGCCTTTGTCGGTTCGTGGCCTCGGCCCCCGAGTCCCGAAATCCTTCTGACACCGCGGGCGGATGCCTTTGCGACAGATGTCGGGCGAGCCCGCCGCGTCGCCGGCGCCGGCGGAGCAGGCCGAGGCGCGGCCCATCAAGCCGAAGAGCACGCTGGAGTCGGGCGCGGAGTTCCCCAAGTCGATCACCCTCCAGGACGGGACGCAGGTCCGCGCACGGCGTGACTCAATCTTGAGCTGAAGTCGTGGGTCCCTGGTGTGCCACGTTTGCCGCCGCGGGGCAGCGCGGAGCCTCCGCACCTTGCAGGCGATGCCGGGCGCGCACAAAAGGGTTTGCTCTTTATCCCATCTATTGTACTATCCCACCCATCCGTGTGCTTGGTGCTCTACTGGCTGACCGACGGTAGCCGACTGAGACGCAAGCAAACGACGGGGGACAGTGGCGGGCCCTCCCAGGGCCATCCCGCCTCTCCTGTCAAAGGCTGTTGGAATGTGGGACATCCACACGGGGGAGTGGATTCGGAGCGTCTGTACATATGGAGGTTGCCATGCGTGCTGCGCACGAATGGCGCTGTTCCGCCGGGATATTCCCCGGCGCGAGCAGCTGCTCGGCAAACTGTCTGCCGCCGGGGTGCGGTGCTCTGAGGCTGGAGGGACGGCCAGGCTCGGAGGACGACGGAGGGAGATCGGAGTCTCGGTCGCCGCGCCAAAATGTCGGAGAGCAGACCTGCCGGTTGCTCAGTCAACCGCCCAAAGGGTCAGCGGCATCCCGGGCGGCGTTTTGTTGCGGGAACTGGTCGATGCCAGTACATTGGCTTGATTCGGGTCGGCGGAAGGGAATTTCCGGGTCCAAGGAAAAAGCGCCGAATTCGGGAAACCCGAAGTTCGGATCTGGACGTCGAAATCACGGCTACTAGTGGAGGAACTTTAGCAGAAATCATTTGGGCCCTGGATGAGTCATTAACTTCTTCAACAGGGACATAGAAGGAAGGGGGGGAGAGGGGGGTGGAAAGAGGGATATGGTTTTATGACGACTGGCATTGTGTTGCACTCAGAGGCTTCTGCACAAGAAAGAACAGTACAGAAAGCATGTCATCAAGAACTATGCTCATGAGTGGGACCCATAATTGCGGGCCGATTGGTTTTTGCTATGCCCATCATCGCCTGCAGGGTGCATCGTCATGGCTGTCCTGACAACTTAGTCCGTGGATTTTGCACACCCGTTTTTTGCACGTAGTTTTGGTTGAGCGTTATTCCTTGCACGCGACTCACAGCATGCTGTTGCGGAGTCTACATTTGCCAATACTTGAAACAGGCTTCCACTGCTGTGCCTTTCTGGGAGCAGGCGTCCTGTTTTCAATACAAATGCGACGATCGCATTGGCACATGCTTGCTACTACAGTTTCAAACGCAATGAAGCTGTGTTTCGTGAGCCAAATTCTTACTGGACTATATCGAATCAGCATGTGTATTGGGGCATTGAAAGTGCATTTCAAGGCAAATGGCAGATGCCAGATGCCGGGAGCCACCCCCACCTGGACCTGCACAAGAGAAGGAAATCTACGATGCTCTGGACAAATGACAGTTTCAAGTGAAAGCATTTCCGTTCTTTTAAAGAGGGGTGCTGGAAAGGAGCCAGCTGTTGGTCTGAAATCGGCAAACAAGCCATCCTCAGTGAATGGTGTTTCCAACTGGCAAGTTTTTAAAGTTTACCCCGTATCCTCTCAGCTGTGGAGTTTGAGCACAGCGCTTGTTCCTTGTGAGATGGAAGGGTAGAGGCACGTGAGATGTCCCTTGCCGTTGTTGTATTGCAATTGAATGGACCAGTTTCTTTCTATCATTTGGCACAAGTAGTGGCATGGTGTCCATGATCTTGTCAATGTCCATTGTGTTGTCCAATGTGTCTGAATGTGTGGCTCATGGTAGGGTACCTGTGTTGTGCTGATGGCCAGATTCCTGTTGGACTCCCACCAGGCGTTGAACCAGCCCAAGGCAAAAAAGCAATTGAGTTTCTGAAGGCAAACCCAGAATATGCCCAGCACACCATGAAGCAAGTCAACAGGGTTCTACAGAATCCAGCGATGGCACAACAAATATTTAGGATGCAGGTGACATCACAATGTGACATTTCGTCTTTCAAGCTTGCAAAAATGCAAATTGTAGTTCCTGTGAGATGTGTTTGTGTAGTTCCATTGAGTAGGTTTACAGGCAATGAAGAATCGTACCCTTGCACCTGACAGTAGATGATATGTTTGCTCATGCAAGCCCCGGCATTTTTTGGGATGTCGGCCGTCAGATTTGTGGTCTGCTCTCAAGGGTCACCTGCCAAGATGCTTGTCAAGTCTTGTTGTGTTTCTGATGTCACGGTCATAATTGATGTTCACCTACTTCACCATGTAGGCCAAACGCAGTACTGGTGGTCAGTAGCTGGCCTACTTCTGAAGTTGTGCACTGTAGGTGACGCAGCAGCAACACACACATCACAGTCTTCTGTGTGCCTATATTATGGAGTTTCCATTACCACTTGCAGCCTTGAATTTCCAAGAGATCGAGCAAAGAGATGGATTGGTGTATATCCTGTGCTCAATGCTGTATGCAGGCCATGATGTCAACCCCAGAATATCAGCAACAGATGGCTGTCTTGAAAGAGGATCCTGAGCTGAAGGGCATGTTCGATGAAATCAAGAAGGGAGGCCCTGAGGCCATCGACAAGTACTGGAATGACATGGATCTGATGAGCAAGATCTCCAAGAAGATGGCTGCCCTCAAGATGGGTGCTGAGAATGGACAAAAGCAGGTGTGTCTCATGTGCACATCGACCTACTGTTGATGTGCTCTTTTGTGGTTGCCATTCTCAAGTTTTAATCTGCAAGTGCCCTTTGTGTGGCCATTGCCATTTGCGGAACTGATCCTCACAAAGGTATTGGTGGAGTGAAAGATGTGTCAACTAAATCTCGATGTCAGTGCCATGTGAGGACGTCCCCACTTTTGCCTCTTTGTGTGCTTTCGTGGGACACCTTGATACCCCCGTCGCCTGCAAGTTGCAAGGGGTCATGAAAATTCTATTGACTGGATTCCATGATGATGACCTGAGGACTCTAGTAGCATCTTTATAGTGCGGAATAAGGCTCAAAATTGTTGTGCTGAAAGATTTGCTGAAACAGTGGAATGCCTATTTTGTGGCTTTTTATTCCTTTATCGTTGCAGTCTTCGCGTCCCAACGTCATTGCTGTCACAGTGGATCATCCTGTAGTGTGTGAACCACTTTTTTTGGTGGGCGCTTGGCCCATTTCGATCCTGTGGATGAACTGAATAGTCTACAATATCAAACCACTTGTTCATAGACACATCAAAGCTATTGTACTCCTTTTTGTGGCTCGATGTAAAATTGTCTGGTTTATGCCTTCACAATGTTGCTTGCAGCTAACCTGCCAGGTGATGTAGACTGGCAGTGAAGCCCAAATTTGGACGGCAATATAATTGCACAGATAGCTTTGCTACTGTGAGCCTGTTTGCTGCAAACGCCAAAATGATGTTGTTGCAACCTCCTGAGCCAATTGTGAGGAGAGATTGCCATTGTATTGGGGTTGTCAATTGAACATGTTGCTCGTTTGAAACTGCAAGCATTGTGGTAGTCCAATTTGCACAGTACAGTTCATGCTCACTCGTGCTCTCAGATATACCACAAAGACTTGTGAGGCTCTGGTTACCATTTGTTATGCGCTTTCTTATTTGCTTGCGTTGTAGGAAGATGTCAAGGTGGATTCTCTGGAAGCAGCAGCGAAAGTGGGAGATGCCAAGGCAGTGAAGAAGTACATAGCTGAAGGGGCAGATGTGAACAAGAAGGTGTGATTTTGCCTTGCAGGCACTCCGATGACAGTTTCCATACACTGCTGGCCTGTGGCAAGCACTTTATATCCCCAACCAGATTGTACAAATTATGGCTGGCTAGTTGTGGACATGTGCTGAAAGGTGCACAACGGTGCAGAAAGGGGTGATGGCACTGAAATTGCCATGCTTTGCAATTGCAGGACAGCCGGGGTATCACACCTCTGGGCGTTGCTGTTGGCTTCAACAGGATAGACGCAGTCAAGGAGCTGCTGGCCGGTGGTGCAGACGTCAGCTTGACTGATAATCAAGGCAACACTGCCCTTCATTATGCAGCAGGTTCGAATCAGGTGTCCCTATCCATGCAAGCATGCCACTGTCTTCCAACTCGTGGGCTGTGCAATTCCTTCTGTGCTGTCTGAATGGAATGAAGATTCAATGCGAAACTGGGTAACACAAAAGGAATTGCTTTGATCTTTTGTATTCTATTTCGTCGCTGGGGTGAACGGGCAACAATTTAAGCCAAGTGAAAGTGCTCAGGAATAGACGTCCATGTTACACCCGGGAGCTGGAAAAGCTGAGCCTGCCAGTGGCTTGCAGGGTGTGTTGGACTGTCAACGGCCCTTTGTGAAGTCAATGTGCTGATTGTGTGGAGCCAGGTTATGGCCGAGTGGAGTGTGCGGAGATGCTGATGAAGGGTGGCGCAGATCCAAAGTCCATGAACAAGAACAACCAAACTCCTTTGGATGTCGCAGAGCTGAACAGAGAGGTGCAGTGTGGCAGGCATGGTTTCAGCGGTCGTGGCATGCTGCAGCACTTGCCTGTTGCCGCAGCACTTGAGTGTGTTGTTGAGATCTGCTGTTTGTGAAGGCACATTGGTGGCAAGCTGGGGGACTGTCGTTCACATTCTGACATATTGTTCATGTGAAGAAAATGAAATTTAAGATTGGAAGATCGGCATACTACAGCTTTGAGATCTTAGCATTGGGAATGAAATGCTTTGCTGTGCTGTGCAGACGGTGATGATCGAGTTCCTGAAGAAACACACCCACACCGAGGACAAGTATGTGTGAACATTGACCCCCCATTAGCCAACCGTACCTGTGGTGCCATTGACACAAGGCCATCGCCCTTTGTGCCGAACACCGATATGCTGTCGGTTGTGACGAACGGCACAGAATGAAAGCAGGAGTCAGACTCGTGGATTGTGGTGCTCCTGCGTGTGCACTTTGATGTCCACAGTATTGGCCATGAGAGTTCAGCTGACTGAGTAGGTTGTAAATTGCTGTCGCGGTTGGCCCTGCTGGCCAGCATGCTTCCATGGGTTTTGGCGTGCAGCGTTAGTTTCTTGACATGTATCATGTTGGCAATTGCGAGCGACACTTTGACTCCTGAGATGCAGTCCCCAGTGGTACTCTGACTGTGTTGCCATGTTCAGCAATGAACAGCCAGCAGCGGATGGTACACCTGATCGAGCGTCGGCAGTCTCGCATCGGAGATTGATTGTAATTCCTGTTCAGCCTTGAGAGCATCATGCCTTGCCCATATCCACCTGCAAGGAAACCCTACATCCACTGTGGATGTGACAGCGTTCTGCAGGAAGTCCAATATGCCCAGCATCGTTGAGTCGCCTGTGGTGTCGATGCCCTGAAACTGCACAGTCTTAGGGCGCGCTTGGACAGCAGCCGTCCATTCTTGCCCTGGCACTCCAGCGTAGTTCTGAACCGAGGGCAGCTGGTTGCGTTGTTGCCTGTCATGGAACAACGTGTGCACCCACATAGGTGCTTGACGAATGTGACATCGACGCCTTCTAGTCTTAGGCAGCCTGACAGCTGAAATGGCCAAGGTGGATATATATGATGCCATAGTATTCGGCCCAACAGATTTGAATCTGGGTGGCTTGTAGATGTAACGTGACAGAGTACGCACCATGGTACATTAGGACAATCATGGTATTCTGAATGGCGGAGACGCAGCGACGAAGAACAATGCTCACGTGCAGCGCCCCGCCTTCAATTCCACAGATGTACGCGCCAATCCTGCGTTCGCCGAGTACTTCATGAGGCATCGACGCAACCTATGTTTTTACCGCTTATACAATATTGGTCCACCCACAATACATTTTGTGCAACGTTTAGGACTCAGCGATCTGTGATCCCTGCGCCCTTTCTGATCCCTTTTGGAACCACTCTCATTCCGCCCAACTACTCCAAGTGCAACGGCATGCAAGTACAGTGCATCGAGCGTCAGCAATTACCTTCCACGAAAAGCGTGCAATTACGTCTGTAAATTTGATGAATTACATCTGTCTCCCCAGCCTCCTCGCTGAACCAACCCACCCGCAAGCACTGCGCCATAAGTGCCCCTAAGCAGCCGCTCATCAGACAATCTGGCCCAAGCCTAATGACGCGGACACTTGTAGTCCCCTATACTGCAATACTGCCTGACCGCAAGCCCGTAGCCCCTTAGTTCTTCGTCGACGACCCATTTTCCCTGGATGGGGGTGTCTTTGGGGACTTCTGAGACTTGGACCTGGGCGCCTTGGAGCTCCTGGCTGTGGCCAAGGGGCACTGGAATTCTGCGCCGCCAGTGTTTTCTTCCTCTTCGTAGCACCGGGGCTCCACTGCCTTTATTTCGTCCCGCCTTGCGTCAGCCTCCTGCGCAAAATTCACAGCTGGTTAGCGCTGATCGCGTCCAGGCCCTGGGCTCCAGGGATCGGTGGCGCTGCGACAAGGAGCACACAATCGTTCCTGAACATTGCTGAGCATGTGGCACTTTGGAAATGCAGTTGGCCGCGACGTGGTGGCAATCCTTGTAGCAGTGCTGATGACGGCTGCAGGCATGGGGCTACGATGGTGCGGTTATGTTGGTGAGCTGCCCTGGATTCTCTCATCCACTGTGTGGAAACTCGTTTTATTCAGTCGAGGAATATTGCTACATTACATGAGTTGGGACAGCGTTGACGTGGTTCATTCATGCAAGCCTTGTGGTTTTGAGATTCCACATGGTAATTGGGGCATGATTGGAAACGGCTGGCGCAGAAAACGACCTTTGTTTTCAGTCTTTGAAGCGTCGAATGCGAAAGGCACAAAGGTGCTCGCACAATTGTGGCTGTGCTTTGCAATCCAAGGACAGGCACTCAATGATGCATGCTCAGTAAGCCTTGCTTTGGGTAACTTCGAGGCAATAGTACAAATACATGTAAGCGTCTGAGCAACGGTTGTGCACAGAACCGCTGTTAGCGTGAATTGCCAACAGAAACAGACACTTTCAACAGAATTACGTTTTAACGCTGATAATCGACAATATGGGCATAGTGTCGTATGTGTCGAGATAAAACCTGCAACATTTCAAATTGATCGTGATACTGCGTGATCTGCGGCAACGTTCTCACCACCTTCCAGCCCGTCCTTAAGGCCACTGAGTTCAAACGGCCCCACCGCAACCACCCAGGCAACCCGCACCTAACGACTACCGCAGACAGAATTGGGAAGTGACGGCGCCGCGAGAAGCCGACACGGCGCTTGCGACTGGTGAATCGTCGGTGCGGCGACTGCAAGCATCGAACAACTGCCAGACCAGCTGCCAGAGCGACCGGCCAACCAAAACGCTGAACACACCGCTGGCAAGACTGCCAGACGGTCAAAAGGAAACGCTAGCAATCGGCAAGCCGATCCCAGCCGGCATCCTCGACGCACACGCGCCCCGGAAGGCCGCCCAAGTCCCAGCAGCAGAAAGCAAAATTTTGCAACGCCAGGGGGGATGCCAATTCGACACTAATTGATGCCATCACACCCACTCTTGTGCCATCACAATCACCGCGATGGCGCCACTTTGTGTCAAAATGCCGTCGCAGTTGCATCACAAAAATGTTGGTTGCTACTGGTGGGACTTGGGCGCCACTTTGTTCCAAAATGGCATCGCAATATGGCATTTTGGACAGCGTTCCGTGAACAGCCGCTCACCTCGTCGGCCAGTGGCCCGATGTAGCCGAAAATGGCCGCCGGGTCTGTCTCGTCGTACGGGCGTACGGCGTTGTTGCCGTACAGCTCGTTGATGGTCGCAGCGATGAATGCCCTGCCCTGGACGTCCGGGTACCACACGGTGTCCGCCACCGCCCCGAACGCGGGCGCCGTCAGCACGCGTGTGAACTCGTGCCGCCCCCTCCGCCCCGGGCGCGAGTCCATGGCCCACACCACCCCGTTCTCGTGGCCGCACTCCACCCCGCGGCTGTCCACGCGGCAGTTGTCCTCGGCCATCAGCAGCAGGCCGTGGCCGGGGATCGCGGACAGACGGCCCGGGTTGGCGGGGCGCTCTATGCCGCAGGTGTTCTGGTCCTGCGTCTCGCCCTGCGCCACGGCGTCGCCGCAGTACATGCGGTCGATGCCCGTGACGTCGTAGTCGGACGTGACGTCCATGGCGAACAGGCAGCCGCAGGGCGCCAGCGCGACCTTGACGTCGTTGGTGGAGCCCTCGATGTCGTCCTGGACCATGATCCTCTCCTTCTGGGAGATGCGCGTGAAGGACAGGAGGACCTTGCCGGAATTGGGGTCGTAGGTCAGGCCGTGCGTGTTAGCCAACTCGACGCTGGCCCCCTGCAGGGCCGCGAACCGCCGCGTCTCGAAGAACGCAGCCATTTTCTCCATGCCCCGCTTCACCGCCAGACACTCCACCTGTGATTTGACGTTCACGACCTGCAGTGTGCACTTTTTCGACGACGGTATGGAGCTGAACATGTCCTCGAAGGTGATCGTCTCCGACATCTCCACCAGCTCGTTGTTATTGGCGGATCCCAGCTCCAGCCACCGAATGCCGTACTTATTGAGGTTGCCCCTCACTGCCTTGAACTTGGCCGCGTACAAAGTGCCCGAGCTGAGGTCGCCTTCCTCGTCGGCAATGAACTTGAACAGGCCGCCGCCGACCTCCCTGCCCCGCGTCCAGTCGGTCATGTACACCGTCTTCCCATCGGGCATGATGTGCATGGCGCCGTGGGAGAAGCGGCCCAGCGTCATGTACTTCGTGGGCGCGGCGCAGCCGAACTTGTTCACCTTGACCTCGTAGGCGTAGCCGTAGCGATACGGATTGAAGGCCTCGGCCAGCGCGGGGAAGCTGTTGTCGAGGTCGTCTATGTACCGATTGAAGTATCGAATGAATTGGATGCTGTTGTCGAACTCCTGCTCCGCCCTGGACTTGAAGCAGCTGGAGAATCCGGTCAGGCATCCAAAGCCGACGAAATTCCTGCCTGTGGTCGCAGCGCATTGGAAACGATGCGGGTCAAGCCCTGATGGGATCATCGGGTACACATGCACGCTCCAGATACATCACCTGTCTTCGCGAGACCAAATAAGGCCCTTGCGCCTTGCGGGCCATCAGGAGACATTGCAGCAAAGCAAGTGCATCGCAGCTGGAGGTGTGCACAGGCAAATGCAGATATTAGTCACACGCTTGCGCGCATTATTGGAGTTCACGCATTTGAGATTGCCCAACTTGTGTGTAGGTGTGGGTGTGGGGGCAACGAGCAGCCGACCAAATTGTTGTCAACTATGAAAATGACAGTATTGCGTCCCATGCATTGCCTGCAATCGATATCTGGACATCCCGTGGATCGAGCTAGGCTGTGCACTGCATTTCTCGGTCCAAAACTCACCGTCTGGCTCGAATGCTTCTCCGCCGAGATGGGTGTTCCATGGAGTCACAGTACCGCCACCAGACCGCCACAGGCCGCCCCACTGCGACCAGTCAATGTAGCTTGCAGAGACCGCCTCCAGGTCTGTCCCATTGTCATTGAGGGTGACAACATAGCTCACGGCTGGCAACGCATCAACCACGGCGACGGAATATACTTGATCGCACATCCCTATCAGCGATGTGAATCCCAGCTTGTGGAATTCGTCTGGCTCCTCCACGCGCTCAGGCTTCACAGGGCCATCTTTGTAGCTGGTGGCAAGCAGTCCTTGGTTAGATCGCCAATTCTACAATGCTGTGACTGTAATTTGTCAGCAGTCACTCGGACTACCTTTGCAACTGCAAAGCAACGACCAGCTGTGCCAAGATATCCAGGAGGAGGGACAACATACTGGATGTCTAGAACGACATAATGTACAGCAGCAGTGCATAATGTATGCTTCGCAGGCCATAATCCCGTGAGCAACCCACAAGCAATTATGTCTCATTGTTTGCTACACGTCCATGAAAAAGATAAACTGTAGGTTTCTTGGAATATGCAACAGAGCCCAGTTGGTGGGGCTGCATCTTCGGAAGGCGCCGTCCAAAATACGCGCTGGACGGAATCGATGGCGACTCGCAGCCGAACATCAAATCGCAGTTACGCAGGCCTTATCCGACGACTTGAGCGCCAGGCCGAGCTGGACACCCGGGAGAGAACCATCACTCGCCCAGGTCAAGACTGGGCATGACAGACTTTAATGCTGAAAGCGTATTTTTAAAGAGTTGAATTTTGGGGTCTCGGGCATACTCGACAACAAGAAGCAAGGGAAGGCGGCAACAAGTCGTGGGCACCAATTGGATGCCGGATCCCGCGGCCGCATTACCTGTCCACCGGTACGTTGTCCTCGTCCACGAGCCTGCCGATCACCAGGCTCTCCCTCGGCTCTCCCGTGATTTCGATCTCCTGCCCAGTCCGGTACAGCGGCGTCCAGCCGCCCAACAGCTCGTCAGTGCCGGTCGTCAGCCTGCTGAAGCCGATGGGGATCTCCCTGGGGCCCTCTGCGTACGGCACGGCCACGCCGCTGGGCGTGAGCTTCTGCCGCTCGCTGAAGCTCAGGTCGAAGGACCCGAAGTAGGACATCCAGCCGAAGGTGTCGAAGGGGTCGGCGATCGTCACGCCGATGTAGTTGTTGCCGCCGACCACGTCCTGGAACCAGTTGACGCTGGTGATCCCCCCGTCCAGGGAGGCGTGGAAGATGCGCGTCGCGCGGCCCGTCTCCTGGTCCCACGCCCACAGGAAGTTGTTGGTGTGGTGCGCGGTGTCCTCGCCCACCAGCAGGCTCTCGAACTCGTTGGCGTAGGTCAGCGACCGCGGGTTGGCAACCTTCTCCGTGTTGCACGTGTTGCCGGCCACCACGCCGGAAGTGTCGTCGCCGCACATGATCGCCCGCATCGACGTCGCCACGAAGTCATCGTCGATCGTGACCTCGAACACGCAGCCGCACGGGTTTGCCGCCACATTCACGCTGCCCCTCCTCTTGAGGTCCAGGGAGCCGCCGCGGATCTCCTCCGCTGCCAGGTAGAACAGCTTGGCGTCAAGCTTGGTCGCCATCTGGGAGAACCTGAAGACGTCCAGCGTCGCCCCGTTCATTGCCGCCAGGCGTTCGGGCTCGAACACGGCGGCGAGCTTCTTGTCGACCGTCCGCAGGCACTCACGGTTGCCTGCCGATAGCGCCGAGAAACGATGTCAGCGGCGGCTTGTGATGCCGCTGCGAGAGCGGCAAGCGAAAGTGCGGCTCTGGATGGCTTGGCGCCACCGCAGATCGGCAGTTGAAAGCGATATGCCGACATTCGCAGCATCCGAAAATAGTGTGCCGACATTCAAAGCATCCAGGGCCTGAGCCGCAGAACGGAGTGGATGGCAAGGCAACAGTGCAGATCGCCCCACGCGATTGCTTGCACATGTCCGAGGGTCCGTTCCAAGGGTCCAAAGCTTTCGAAGGAATGTATCCTTGCAAGCCAGCGATCCGCAACAGTGGCCTTGTCAGGTTTCATTGCGCCAGTGCGATACCGCCACGAAGGGAGACTCTAACAGTCCACAACCATACATAGCCGTGAAAGTGGCAAAACCAATTAGCAGTCAGACCACAGTCTTAATTCAAGCTCGGAACAACTGGACTCACCTCCCAAGGTAATGAGTTGAAAGCCCGCACCGCAGCTCGCTCCAGAAACTACGTCGTCCTTAAACATGTCAGTGAACTCCAGGACCTCGTTTCCGCTGGTGAGCTCTGCTACGTCTTCTGCAACATTCTGTCCGATGGAAATCCATTTGATGCCGAACGTGTCGCCCTCTTGGATGGTCAACTCAGTTGTGACGTTGGCGCTGAAAGTGAAAGCTGCGGCAAACAGCTCGCCTGAATCGAAATTGCCTTTATCCGGCCTGAATCTGTATAGCCCGCCATTTCCACCAGAAAGGTATACATTGAAACCGTCCTGCATGACGGCTATCCCTCGCGCGCCAAGCCGTCCCATCGCATAGTGTTTCTCAGCGTTGTCCACGACTCTGTCGTTTGCATCCACGCCAAGGCTGATCTCGAAAGGGTACCCATACCGATAAGGCCTGCGTGAATGCCAACAGTGCTTCCAGGAGATTGATCATCACAGTGCAGCAAAAAACAGAGTGGCAACAACTGCCTTTTCGCCCATTCCTCGATGTGCGGCCCAAGGACTTGGATGTTACCAAAGTGTACAGCAGTATAGCGGTTAGAGAATTGTCACGTCAATCTGCTTGTTGCGTGCCTTGTTGATGCACTCTTTTGCTCAACACAAATGCCTGTGCGCCTGGACTCACACACTTCATGTGAAGCACAAAGCATTTTCCGTGCATGCTGGCAGTTGGCTCAGGAGGATCATCAGGTAACGATTATTGCTGACAAAGGAGTTTGATGCTATCAGTCATCTACTTTGCCATTGCTAAACAACACTTGCACGCTTTTGGCTCATACAGGTGTATATCGGCGCGATTGTCTTCACCTGAGGCCGTGATTAAAAAGAGCAGACATGTCAGGGATGAACATAAGCACATTTAGCCTGTGAGGTAAATAAATGTGCCACAGCAAACCCCCACCTGAAGAAAGGAAGCGCCTCTGAAGGAGGAAGCACCAATTGGCCTTCTTCCTTCAGGGCATTTGGATCCCTCTTGAAGTACCTCATGAAATCCATGATGTCAAAAAATTGAAAGGGAGCAATGTCGCGCATGCAGTCAAACCTGTCTTCGTCAGACATGCATTCCACACTTCCATATATCAGACCTGTGCGTTGCAAAACATAAATCAGCGCCACATCAGCAGTGGAAGGACAAGGATTCCAATTGTCAAGCACCTGTTTCGTGGCTTGCTACCTGTTGTTCTCATGGCTGCTAAATGCGGCGTTTGGAGTTTGATTTATTTCCCTTAGTGCAGAGGCACAGCAGAATCAGCAACCTGGACCAGCCCTGCCGCAGCCCTGGTGATGTTCTACACATATTTGGTTATAAACATCGTCATTGCATCTATCCCTTCTTTTGTGTATTTCACCCCTGATCGTCATCCAACACCATTATCCAGCCCCAACCGATGCCAAGATAGGAAGCATGGCAAGCATGTGAACACAACAAAGCAGGATGGTGCACAACCTGTCCTTTAAGTCAATCCGTTGAGCCATCGTTCAACTACACAAGCAGCCATGAGGAAATAACGCGAGGTGATGTACAACGAGGTTGTACATCGGCGCAAAGGGTGTACGGAGACAAACGCAGCGGCACGACGGTGCCCTCGGGGGTGGTCTTGCATGTAGTGTTTGCCTTTGTCGCTCCGGCAATTTCTGACGCAACGGAACGGACGACACGTCCGAGTGGATCGCCAGCCCATGGAGCACTTGCGAGGGTGTACAACTGCGCGTCGGAAACGCACAAAATTTGTCGCACCATCGGGCGGTATGCCTTCGGTTCCCAAGTAATTGCCGCCTGGCGTCAGGATGGCAGCCCTCGGCTTCCACAGACCGCCCTCCTTCACGAACGCGACCGGGACGGTCAGCAGCGTGGCCAGGTCGGTGTCGTTCTCGAGGCGCATCCGCACCCTCATCACCATGCCCGGGTTGGCCTCGAACTGGTACAGCATGAACCACCGCCTCACCTCCTCCTGGTTCAGGAGGATGCCGCCGCTGGGCGCGTGGGAGAAGGCGACCTGCAGCGGGAACAGGAAGGTCAGAACGAGGGCCAGCGTCGATGCAAAGATGCGATTGGCGGGCGCTCGGAACCCGGCTCCGCAAATCTGCCGAGCAACGCAGACGAATCAAAGGCGTTTGGAGCGCTGGGCGCCATATGCAACCCAGGCGGAGCCTTGCCGACCCGCCCTCCGCCTGATGCCGTTCCCGTTGCGGATTTGCGCCGTCAGGGGCTCCATGGTGCCATCGTCAGGGGCCAGCGTCGATGAGATTGACCAGCGCTCGGAACCTGGCCCCGCAAAGCGGCCGAACCATGCTGACACATCAGAGGCGGCGTGGTGCTTGGCGCCAGATGAAACCCAGATGGGCGGCCTCGCCGACTCACCCTCCGCCTGGTGGCGTTCCCATTGCGGATTGGAACCGCCAGGGGCTCCAGGGTGTCCTGGTCGTATGCCGTAACGTTGCTATTGGTGATGTCCAGCACCTCGCCCATGAACGTGCACCCGGGCTCGAAGCAGTTGTGGTCCTCCCGGGTGCGCGCGATCTTGTTGAAGGACTGCGCCGACACCCTGCCGTAGGTTGCCTTGCGGGTCCCGATGATGGAGGTCTTCTCCAGGTCAGTGCGGGGCACGAGCACAGGCTCGAATTGCACAAACGCGACCGCGAGCTCCACCAGGAAGATGACGGCGATCGGGGCGCGCCTTGCGGCGCACCGCGACGGATACATCCTGCGCTGCCTCGGGCCTCTGGCGCCGGCCCCCGGCTAGAATCGGGCGGGATCCTCCTCCGGTGTCTCGGGACTGCTCCCCCACCTTAACTACCTGCAGGAATGGATAAGGGAGTGGGGGTGACTATCCTTGCATTGCGCCACCACCGCCGACCACACAGCGGGGGGTCAGGGGAGGAGCCGCGGTGTTCAGAGTGACGGGATTGTCCGACGAGCGACGCCAAGGACGCCGCGCGGCGCGCATGGCTCTGGGATGTCCCGCGTTAGGCCACGCTGAGCGTTCGGGGGTCGACTTGCGCGACTTACCCGCGGACACCTCTCGAGGCAAGCTGAGCACGGGGGCGCTGCGCCCTTGTAGTCCCAAGAGTCCTGGAAGCAGGTCGCTGAGCAAAAAGAGCTCTGCCCGGGGCAGGGTGCGAACGTCCCGGTGGTGGCCGGGCGGTCTGAAGCACAGGTAGCTGTCGCGTGATGGCGCAATCAAGAAGGGGGGTCAGCAGTCATGGGTCGCAGGCCATAGGGGTTTGTACAGGAAGCTAACTACTAAGGTGAATTCCGGCGGAAAAGTGTCAGCAATCATCACGAGGAGGACGGATATGCCCCACGTGATGTCCTCGATAGACGCAAGGCTGGCGACCGCCTTCGCGTGTACGTCTGGGCGGCAAAGTCGTCGTAGCCGTCAAAGGCGTCTCGAACGTCAAGGGGTGCCGCACAGGACGTGATAATCCAGAACGACATGAGGGGAAGTGGTAGGCGAATGAGCTAACTCGACCTTCATGTCATGCTTGTCAACTTGATAGCCCGCGGTCCCTGCCCTTCCCTAAAGTGGGTCCTGAAGTACAAGAGCCCGTGAACCGAAAGTCGCCCGTGCCCGCGAGTCCGGCATGGGATACGACAAACTTTTTTATACCGGCTGACAACGCGGTTTTTCTCGCGGGAGAATCCTGTGGCAGGGCCTTGCCTTGCCCCGGCCCTGGCATCAGGACACCAGCGCCTGACTCCTTCCAGACGCGAGTCCCTTTTGTTCGGCAGCCCGGCTTCGCTCGCAGAAGGACGCATGATGGATCCTGAAAGGAGCACCCGACCAATGCGGTACTGATGACGTTGTGCAGTCTGTCGCGTCGTACTCCTACACATTGTACTGCCACCGCGCCGTCATTGCAGTACTGTGGGCAGTGCCCCTGGCCCCGGCATTTGTTCAAGGCCGCCGTGCTTCCAGCATGGAGCCGCACTGGATAGATGCTCGGCATATGCCGATCTAGAGGGCAAGCTCCTGAGGATCCCACCTACGAGCTTCCATTAAATCAAAACAATCCATATGGCCGAGCAGAAGCTGGCATGTTGGAGCTTGTGAGCCTGGCCCCTGGATATCTCCTGTGGATACACTTGCTGTACACCGAGGGGTGCACCCCACAGTAAAAGGCGCCGCTCTCGCTAATCGATGCCTCCATTCGACGTCGCCCAAACAACGTTTCAAGGGGGCACTGATCTAGAGTTGGACAGAGCCTACACTCTCTTTATCGTGTTTACTCTTCTAATTGCAAATTACTGCGTCACATGTAAGGCTTAGCGTCCCACATGTGGTTCAAAATTCATGTGAGTGTACACTCTCCCCAACCCCAGTCCCTAATTGACTTAAACCTTGTTTTAACATGCTGTTAAAGTTCCCGGAACAAAGCTAATGCAAGACACAATGAATTCCATGAGAATGGAGTGTGTCTCTGACCGTCTGACTGACCAGAGATGAAGCTGAAAACACGCTGGTTATGCACTCAACAAAATGCACCGAGACAACAAGCTGTTAAGGTGCCAATTCGTAGCGAGTTGCGGCCAGTTCATTAAACCATTAAACGATTTAGATTACCCGGTTAATGCGGCGCAACATCCGGCGGGCAGTCAGCTGCCGCTTGCACCTTGGATGCTTCCCGCGCGCGCGACTTGCTCAGAAGTGCGCGGCTGGTCGGCGCGAGTGCGCGGAAAGGAGCGACCGCCGGCGACTGTGCTGGGCGACAGTGGCCGGACGTGGCGGACATCGGGGGACAACTTTCGAAGCCGATGTGTAGCTGGCCGGCGAGGCGGAGGTGTCGGGCCATGGAGCTCGTTCTGGCGGAATGGCGGAGGCGCTGAGCAGTGCGAGTGCGGCAAAGTTGGTGGGAAAGATGGCGCGGAGCAAGAGAACCCTTGCGCGCATCGAGGGGAAGCGCGATGCGTTGTTAAGGGCAGATGAGGGGGGCGCCTTACGAGAAAGGGCGGAGGCGGGCAGTCCGGAGGCCGCGGGCCGATCGTCCCCGGCCACTCAAGCAGCCTCAGCGATGGCCGTCAGGGAGCTCGTCGTTGAGCTCCGGACAGAGGCGGTGGAGGCGCAGAGGTCGGCCGCAGAGTGGGCCTCCATGGCCATCCGGAGGGCCCTAGGAAACCCCCCCGAAAGGGGGATGCACGTTCCCCCGGCCGGTCCGGAGGGATGGAGCGGCGCGCCGGGGCCGGAGGAAGCGGCGCCCAAGCTGCGCCTTATCAAGCGCGGGCGGGCGGAGCTCGCGAGCGGGCAAATGCCACGGGGGGAAGGCTCCAAGCAGTTCGGAGGAAGGAAAGTCATGCACGACGCCCGGATTGGCCGAGTGTCGTGAAATGTAACTGCAAGGAGTGTTTGTGATTGATAGGAAAAGGGGGAAAACGGTTTGATAAGGGGAAGTGAA